AAAAAATTGATCGTTATTGATTACAATTTAATTTCATTAAGGTGATCTTGAGGTCCAATACGTAATGTAGTTCATTTCACAACCTAATGTGAAATTATCCCAACAGCAGATGCTGCGGAATGTTTTGTAACCTGATTTATTGGCGGATAATCAATTCATCGCACGGAGACAAGGGGAGGAAAAAGCTTATAGTTTAATAATCGCAGGGTAAATGAGAATCACGGATTAATCAGATTGTAGAGCTTATCTCGACAACGGAGAAAAATAGCCGAGCGGCTCTAAACGTGAGGTTCTTTCGTGGTAGGAGAAATCGGGTAAAATAATGACGGAAGTACCGGTGAGAAACGAGAATGGTTCGAATTTGGAAAGGAAGTCAGATGAAATTTTCGCAGAACCGGAAAAAAATTATGACACGTAAAATGATACTCAGAAAAAAATTATAATTAAAAATATGAAAGTTCCACAAATACCTCAATTTTACGTACTGCAATGCCCTAACAAATTATTTAAGAAGAAATCATTTATATTACGGATGTCAGACTTTTCATTACACACTGTTTAGGACATTCAATGAAGCAGAATCCGGTAATACAAAATCGAGGATCTATACTCAAATTTCCCAGCCTAATACATTTCCCAATCAAGATTTGTGGTACTCGTTCACATCGGCTTTAAACGCTCAATTTAATAGCCATTTTCAGAACCTTCGCCACTATATATACTCTCAAAACCGTTCCTTTATAACGGGACTGAAATCTGGGACTTGTGATGAGCTCGTGAACCTGCCGACACGCGGACACGGAGCCTACACGTACCCCGGATTTCTTGGCATGTTCAGATAGCATCAAACATGTATTACGCATGTTGCATGTTCTACGCATCAAACAGAGTCATAAATACTTAACTGCTGAATGAGCGACATTTAAAAGATATTCTTTTCAATCTTTTCAATGATATGATTGTTCTTTGAAGACTCGTTTCTACAGTTATGCTACGTAGGATAGGCGCAGATTTTAAATACACTACAAAAATTTAGCATACTATATCAGTGTGAAGATTCCAGGCACGGATCCGTGCAAGTCATTTTCCTTTCCTTCTCTACCAAGTTTTACCTTCATCACTTTAGTCGATACGAAGAACAGTTCAAGGAATATGGTGGAATACATTGGAAGGAATCATGTTAGGAAAGATAGGTCTAATATATTGGAAATGATGACTAGGTAATCGGTGCAGATGCAGATACAAGTATCCATTACATTGGATATACACATTTGACAATGGAAAATGCTGCAATATATCTATATTAGATACCATTAATACTTGGCTATTAGTAACCGCTATCAATAATAAATTAAAATTTATGCTCTAATATTCCACAAAACTACTCAAAATACATGATGAACTCGAGCCTAAGAATACACAAAATTAGAAACCTGAAACGTAAATATAATTGTTGGTTAACAGAGACGTCCTCGCTGAGCACATTAAGGAAAAGTACGGAGCGGAACAAGAAAACTGGGCCAAGTTTCGCAGAGTTCACAAAGAAAGAACCTGAAAATTTGGATGGAAAATCCCTCAAGTTGTGCGCCAGGAAACAAACTTTGTAAGTGAATGGACAAGCGGAAATGAAGCGGTCCAGCACTGGGAAGAGGCAGCGACAGCCCATGTAATAGTTTCAGTCATGTCCGTGGAGACATGAACCAGGCGTTCGCGAACTAATAGCAAGAAAAATGTGAACGCAATAGTGGTAGCTATGATAGAATACAGAAAAAAATGGTCAAAGATCTCTGCCCGTATCAGGATGAGCGAAACCACGTACTTCTCGGTAGGCAAAAGGTTAGGATTTTATTATGAAGATGTAAAACAATTCTGGTTTAAAAAAAAATCCTGATGAGGAAGGCTTGCGCTATAGATATGGACCATTTACAGCATAGATATTTAACATTTGCAATGAAAATAGGAAAGTTAAGCAAGTTAGCGCAACGTTGTCAGTTTGCTGTCGCGGCAACAGCAGACCATGCACAAAGGAAGTTGATATCCAGTTTTAACTGCCAGGAGTATTGCAGACCGGTTTAACATGTCGACTAGGAGACGATCAATTCAGTTGAGAAAGCAACTCAACTCACTGCTAAGTTTAATTCGAAGAAAATCCAGCCTATGCAAATATAATAAACGAAGTGAACTCCATCCGTCATGGTGATCATAAGCTATTTTATTCACCGAATAGATTGCACTTGCGTGAAGAATATTGAGTCAATAAAACCTAATCATGGGTGCTGAGGAGCATTTGCAACTCAACGTGAACTTCTGCTATCAGTAATCATATGAATCCTGTATTAAAAAGTCACGAAATTAGTAACGCTTGCAAAAAATTCCCCTTGTTGCTCTGAGTATCTGTGGAGCCTAGTTAGTCGGAGAAAGATATTGTCAGCGCTATCACCTAAGATTAGTGTAGCACAAATTCCAGGATCATCCGGAGATTACGTTCGACATCAATATCCACAATATGTGCAGGAGATTTTTGAAAAAAAAAAGATCCGAATACAACCAAAGAAGTGGTACTCGCCATGTTGTTTCTTCTGTCGGTTCACTTCGAATTACAGCGTTGGAAAACTCTCACGCGCCGAAGAACACAAGAATATTCCCTTTCATTCTTAATTAATCAGACATCTTCACTATTTCATAGTGAATTCGCAGGGAAATTCCTTCAGTGGAATTGCTATAAATACGTTACAAACACTACTAGAGGTCATAAGATAGTGAATAAGATAAGTTAACAAAAACAGATTTCAGGAGCAATGTATGAATAACATGCTTTCTTTAGTTGAATAAAAAAAAGTAAATAAGCAAAAAGGAAAATTATTTCTACAGTGTGATTCACGGAAACCTCATTTTTTGTATTTCGCGCCAAGCAGCCAGACATTGTAGGGAAAGAGCGAAGAGTATTTCATATGAAAAGAGAGGTAATGAAGTTTTGTGTCCCGCCTAGTCAGATGCCACTATGCATTGGACAAGTGAGCAGCGTGCGTTCGCTGTCGAGGCGTACTTTTCTAATAGCCGTTCCATCATCGCTACTTAACGGGCATTCCGTAATCAGTTCCATGTTCGTCCTTAAGGTCAGGTTCCTGATTGAAAATCGATTGTTACGTGGGTGAACAAATTTAGGGTAAGTGGAAGTATGAATGCAAGTGGGTCTGGAGGTCAGCGGACTGCCACAAAACCCCAAAACATTGACTTGGAGAGGCATTTCTGTGTTCTACACACCGTTCAGCACGTAAACACGCTGCTTTTCTAGGGATTTCGAAGAGCAGTGTGGTACGAATACTCAACAAATAACTGCAATTTCAGCCCCGCCCAACTGTCTGTGATGCCTTTTTTTGTCAAAACTGGCTGAAATGAATGTCAGGGATGTCTGGTTCCAACAGGATGGAGCCACGACCCACACAGCGCGATGTTCAATGGAACTTCCCAGACAACATTTTGCACAGCGCCTCATCTTCTCGAGATGTGAGCTTCTTTGGCCGGCCCGATTCCCCGATTTGGCTCCTTGTAATTTTTTTATGGGATTATCTTAAATCGATTGTTTACAATGACGTCCACGGACCCTACCTCATTTGAAGAACAACATACGCCAAGCCATCGCCAACATACCCGTCAATATGCTTCAGTGAGTTGAAGGAAACTTCAAAAATCAATTAGCTGTCATCTTTAAAACCGAGTGTTACAAAAATTTAGGTTAGGGTTTTCCAGTAAAATTTATATTGTAATATCTTTACCAGTTCTTTTTGTGTTGAGCTTTCAAAACAGGAAGCTTTCGTGAATCACCCCTGACTGCACCCTGTATATTCTTGTTATTAAGGGTAATTTATTCTCAGATAGTTCTTCAAGTATTCTGTAAATATTATTAATTGTGAAAGGAAATAAGCAAGATATCATTTTGTACTTTTATAAAACTAAATCAAACAAGATTTAGCAGCTTGTCCCAGGAGATAATTCAGAATAAATGCTATGGCTCGTCAAAACCAAAGTGGAATTTTCTACATGATAGCTAAGAAACTTGTCTTTTCTTTTTTTTTTCAGATGAAGAATACTCAACGCTCCCCGGGCCATAATTTGTAAGATGTCATACTTGGAACTAAGTGATACGAAAATGCAGGTAATGCATTTTTAAATAAAATTTATATTATAATGATATCTTTACTAGTTCTTTACTAGATACGAACAATGAATGTTTCGTCATCCACCCGTAATCATGTATCTGGATTCAATCGGAATAAGTTTTCGGGAGGTCGCACCTAAATGCATAAATTTTAAATGAACAATCGTTGGAGGGGCGGCTGTTGATTTGCATAATTAAAAAGTCTCAGGGTCGCCGAAGGCAAAATAACACACGAGTGAAAAGCTTCCTAATGAGAAGCTGTGAGCATCGAAGCGTTGGAGTTGCCCATTAAAACTTCGTTAATTGAACTTGTAACGCAAATTTTTGAGACACAAACCAAATTCGAGGCAGCGAGCATGCATGCCCGTCAGGTAACGATCATGAATATTAACGAATTCTTGAGAGTAAATCATTTTTACGATGAAGTTAAATCTAGAACTTCTCGGTCGTTTATACATGTTGGCGAGTAATTATTAACTGATGTCAAGCGATAATATCCAGTTAATAATATTCGTAATATTATTCAATGCAATATTTAGTCAATTAAATGGCAATAACTTCAAAGAAATTAATTATGTCGAAGATATGAATGATGGCAATTTCGATGAAAAGGAAAATTTTTTCCTGAGGTATCTATCGATAAAAGTTCATAGTTTAACACTACAACACCCGACATCAAAAGCGATATCGTTTTTAAAGTGTTCACGCTTCCACCATGTCTCTTCATGTAAATAATTCAGAGCAAAAAATTCCCAAATAAATTTCGTATTTATGAATCAAGTTCTAAAAAATATTTATTATTAGTAATGTCCAAGAAATGACTTCGAATTAACATAATTACCTTCTGCTTCTCAGTCATGCTGCGGATGTCGTCGAGGTCTCCCACAACAACAGTTTGCTGGCGACACATCTGCTCCACCACCGTCAGCCAGTCCCGGATCTGGTAGCAAATAATTACAATATAATAATAAAATACGTCAATACTGTAGCATAAACACAGAAAATACAGACAAATAAAATTATTATTATCCAAATATTGTCACACTTTCTCACTCCCAGCACAAGAAGAGAGAGGACGTATCACTGATACACCTTGTTACCGGGCCCAACTGTGTCAGAATGACCCACACATGAGGAAAAAGTGCTTCGGTACTTGGACAGTCTCACTCGTTTCTCATACTAGACGCTCAGAAAAATACATGGGTAATACTGTCCAAATAGTGACATACTTCCTGTGTGTGGCACTAAACCGTCCTATTGCCGGGCAAAATTGGGTAAGGATGACCCAGACATGGGCAAATAGTGTATCGTTATTTGGACAAAATTTCTCAATTTTTCTGAGTGTACACCTCTCTGAGTTATGACAGTGCACTCTTAAGGGTTCTTTATTACGCTGGCAATCTTGATAGCAAGCGCCACACCGTCTCGAAGGTAGCACAACTCTGCATGAATTAAAGCTTTCAAAGACAGCCGTTACGTCTCTTATTATAATGTGCGGCCAAAACGATTATAATGTATAATGATTATAATGTGTGTCGAAAACGATTATAATGTTAAATGATTATAATGTATAATGATTATAATGTGCGTCGAAAACGCAAGAAACAGCGAACTAACGATGGATAATAATTAAAAAAAATGTGGACAGAGAAAAGAGACGTGAGATTCTCTGCGCACTTGCATACCTTTGAAAAAAACAAGCAAAGCAAATGCTGGGGTGAAAAAAAACAAGGAATAAAATGTAGCGATGTGCAGCTTGCGAGGCTCGCGCGCTGAGTAACGAGATCGTAAAGTGATGAGGGTCGGACGGTACCTGAGTACGACATCTTTACAGCGCCAGCGCCAGATACACGCTTCAATTAAGGCTAAGTAGAATTACAGCGAGATGAGCAGGCTTATGGCTGTGACACGAGCGCCTTGTTAAACTGATGCTACTTTGTGCTCACGGAAATTTGTTCGTATGAATGAGACTGCAGTTCTAACATGAAGAAATACGCGTACGACGAACTAAGTCAAGACAAGTTTCACATTTAATAATGCTGATTTTCATTGACAACAACCCTTTCCAATCCAGATAATTATTGTTATATTTATAAAACTAATGAATTAGTTTTCTTATACTGCCAATTACCCTAGGGATGTGTTAGCTGTCCAAATGCGCCGTGTTCAGCGTTTCTGTCTCTGACGTCTCAATTTCTAAATACTGCCATGTAAAAAATTAGGCAGGAAACCAACGATGAAACTTTACTCACTATTGCTTTTGAACGGCGAGCAATTTAGTCGTTTATGGCCCAATATATAAAATGATGGCTAGAATGACAGAAGCCCCAGTAGAAGCAGCAGCAGCAGCAGACGCAGCAGTATCAGCAGCACCAGCAGCAGCAGAACCATCAGCAGCAGCACCATCAGCAGCACCAGCAGCAGCAGACGCCGCAGCACCAGCAGCAGACGCAGCAGCACCAGCAGCAGCACCAGCATCGGCACCACCACCAGCAGCAGCACCAGCAGCAGCAGCAGCACCATCAGCAGCAGCAGTCCCAGCAGCACCAGCACCAGCAGCAGCAGCAGCACCATCAGCAGCAGACGCCGCAGCACCAGCAGCACCATCATCATCATCAGCAGCAGCACCGGCACAAACACCAACACCAGCAACAGCAGCACTAGCACCAGCAGCAGCACTAACACCAGCAGCAGCAGCACTAGCATCAGCAGCAGCACCACTAACACCACCAGCAGCAGCAGCACTATAGCACCAGCAGCAGCACTAACACCATCAGCAGCACTAACACCAGCAGCAGCACTAACACCAGCAGCAGCAGCACTAACACCAGCAGCAGCACTAACACCACCAGCAGCAGCAGCACTAACACCATCAGCAGCAGCAGCACCAGCAGCAGCAGCCGCAGTGCACGAGAAGGGCCGCGGGCATCACAATGGCGATGACACGAAGCAGCGATCATGAGCGCAACGAGAGCTAATGGTCGGTGCAGCGCGACCGGTCAATACTGCACCGCAGCACTGCTACTCACTTAATTTACTGCATCAACAAGGACATTCAAGGGAACAATTATTCAAATATAAAGTATTTTTCTCTCTCTCTTTTTCTTCGAACAAAACTTCCGTCAATGGGTCTACTTATTAATCAAGCTCAACGATTCGTTCATCTGAGAGAAAGTGGCGGAAGAATATAAGTTCTTCATCTATTAGAAGAGAATAGACAGAAAAAAGCTTGTACTCCAATAAACAACGGTAAATGCCAAGAAAAGGAGCACAATTCGTTAATAAAGCTCAACGATTCGTCCATCAGAGATAAAGAGAAAATAATTTGATTTCTTCAGCTACTTGGATAACAAAGGTAGCAATATAGCTTGCACACGGTAAATGGAGCAACGGTAAATGAAAGCAAAAGGTACACTAAAGAATATCTCGGCTTTCGCTCGCATAGGAACGCCCATCAAATATCTGTCAATGACAAAGACACTTCCCTGAGCGGTAAGAGAATATCAACCAAGAACCTGTCATGACAAGCAGAATAGACTTGGCAGTCTAGCTAGGGAGCAGCAGTTTTTTTTTGTCGTATAGTAACAGAGTATACGAAGTGAAGCTAAATGTGAATAAATCGTATAACTGAAGAAAGCTTAGTTGAGAGTAGCACTGTAGCACAAATGAAGAAACTAGCTAGAAACCAGTGTACGTTGCATCGCGAGCTGAATTTCACGACATCAGCAGTAACATTGCGGTGAAATGAAATTAATAGGATCTTTAAAAAGTAAATTACTTCAAAAAAAGTAAATTAGTTCTAATAAAGTAAAATATTTCGTTTACGATAAAAGTATCAACTTGTGCATAAGTACAGTCTCGAGTTTATGGAAACAGAGCAGTAGTCGCGAACATGCGAATTCATTGCCGCAAAATTGAGCCACGTTATTGATTTTTTGAGCGATGACACATAAAAAAATTATCAATGGCATCAAGTAAGATGACCACAAAATTCAACTGGAGTCGTGTACTATTTTTCCAGATAAAGCCTTTACAAGCAAAACCCGAAAAATAGTTTGTATCTGATGACTAAAATTACCCACTAGTCAAAGTTGTACTATTGATATAAGTGGAAATAAGTAATTACTTATTATTTAAATAATAATAGTCAGTAATTATCTTGATATCAGAGGGAACAAGTATTTATTTATTATTAAAATAATAATAGTCAGTAATTATCGTGATATCAGAGAAAACAAGTATTTATTTATTACTAAAATAATAATATTCAGTAATTATCGTGATATCAGAGGGAATAAATAATTAGTTAATATTATAATAATAATAGTCAGTAATTATCGTGATATCAGAGGAAACAAGTAATTAGTTTATATTATAACAATAATAGTAAGTAATTAATAGCAACAGTCACCTGTAGGATGCTCTTATCAAGCGAAGCCATGATGTAGGACGGAGACGATCCCTGGGGGGGTCTGGTGGAGCGGAGCAGGGGGGAGGGGGGCGTCATCAAGCCCTTGTTATCAACAACGCTGCGGTTCTCTGACGACACAACACCTATTTTAATCCTCATACTTATGTTACTTTCAGCATAATATTTACGGTAATCTCGGTGCACTGTTTACGAAACGTGAAGTTTAGAATTTATATACCTTTTTTATTCACGGGCTAATATTTATTGAATTTATATGCCTTTGAATTTATTTGCCTTCCGGTAGAGCTTAACTCAGCCTCGGTCGTGTCGTTTGACGGGCTTAGCTCATGCCACGGTCGACGCATGAAAGTTGTGTTTCAAGTTGGAAACTACAAGGCCGGCAGTACAACAAATAATTAAGTCCTATGAGTTATATATATCCCCGATAAAAATAATGCAACGAATAAATAGGAAACTCGAAACATGTTGATTATAATATATATATAAATGAATAGAGTTGTCGAGACAACATCGATAATCCAATAATACGAGTATCTCCAATAATACGAATAGCTCCAATAATACGAATAGCTCCAATAATACGAATAGCTCCAATAATACGAATAGCTCCAATAATACGAATAGCTCCAATAAATTCGTAAATAAGCTCCAGATCTGCTGGGGCCATACTTTCAAAACTCGCTAAGTTGATGTTATACTTACGCTATATTTTCTTGTCTATGATTGGTTGATTTTGCTCGAAAGGCCGTCAATTATCGGCTAATGAACTTACGATCTCTTAACTTTTTTGAAAGTATGGCCTCTGGAATTAAGGCCTAAACAGAATGCGTATTGCACCTTCGAAGTATATGGTGTTTTGTAGGATCTAAACAGAATGCGTATTGCACCTTCAAAGTAGATGGTGTTTTGTAGGACGAGTGCCGCGTCGTGCGCCGCGTCGCTGCCGTCAGGCTGCCGTGCGATGAGGTCGCGTGCGGTGGACAACTGGTCCGGCAGCACCTTCAGCCGGCTGTCGATGATGGACATGCGTTTCTGGTGGACAGAATCGCAATAATATAAGTTAGTGATTGCAATAAGAATCGTTCAATCAATGTCTTTATTGAAAATTTTAACTTTGAAAATGGAAACAAAAAAAGAAGTTTCGAGAATTTTAGAATTTTGGGGTTTTCCCAGCAGAAGTTTTTACCTAGCTTCTTATCCCAGGAAAGAATTCAAAATAAATGCTTTGGCTCGCCAGAACCAGAATAGAACACTCTGCATGATAAATACGAAACCTGTTCTTTATTTTTTCAGTTGAAGAACACTGAAAGCCACATGAATAAAATTTGGAAAAGTTTTGCGGGGCGAAACAACCGACCTCATTCTTTGTGTTGGAGGCAACAGGTTGCCCCGATCTACTGGTCGAAAGGACCTGTGAGTCAGCAACGTATGCTCTCAAAACGCTGATTGGATCTAACTCAAGTTCGTCGTCATCAACATTTTTCAATTTTGAACTGAAGTTTGGAGCTAAGTCATTAGTAAGCTTGTTTGTAACTGCAATATTAGGAAGGCTGTATCTGTCCCATCTTCGGTCTTTAAAATCATGGTTCGCACGACAAAAAATTGGGGTGTTTAAAGAACTCGATGTCGATGAGTCTTTCCACCGGAATGAATCATCATTAAAATGTACGCTTTTATCACCATTTTCATTTTTATTTACAGAGTAATCAGAACAATCCAACGGTTGCCTGCATTTAGACAGATAAGGTGAACTCAAGACATCTTGATTGCCCCCAAATGTAGGCGTAACGTTTGAGTTTCTTATGCTGTAGGTTGGCGACGACGTCAAGCTGTTGAGAGAGACTCGTTGATTGCCCCAAAGAGCTGGTGATCTGAGAGAGGTCCGTGGAGCAGCATTAGATGAATAAGGGGACGCGTAAGTGAAAGGAGACGTGTAGAGTCCAGGCGACATTTTTGAAGACGCTTTCTCCACTTCATCAGCCACCAAATTATTCAGCGCAATAGAACCCGAGGTCTTTTCAGAGCCAAATGGAGCTATTTTTTGGCTAGTTTGAGATTGAGAATCAAGATTCTTATGATTCCAAGAAACTTTGCGATTAGAATTAGGAATGTCAGTCTCGCAAATTTTATGCGTTGAATTGGACAGAAAATCGCGAGAAACTTTTGACGATAAACAACTTTGCTGCTCGAGACATTCGAGCTCGGGGAAAAAAATCGGGTCGGTTTGACAGCCGGCATCGGCGACACTGGAAGCCACGCCATCGATGAAAGGAAGAGAGTCAGTATCATTGGCAAGCGCAGTGTTTTGAACTGCTATTTGTGAGTCGGCTTCAGTGCAAGCGTTAGTGCTGGTGACAGACTCGCTCGAGGTATCAAGATCAAGGTTGGAAGTTAGAGATGAGTTCGAAGAACCGACGTTTCGCTTCCCCCGAGATGAATGTCGCTTCTGACTTTTAGGGGTTCGACCAAATTTTTTCGAACTGTTCATTATGCATGAATAAACATGTGACCATGAAAACGAGAAGTAAAATACCAGTGAACTAACAATGCCAACATGCAGAATTGTTCCTGAAAATAAAGGCAAGGGAATACACAAGACGAATGGCAAGCATCAAGATGAGGAATAACACCAAAAACAAGATTCTCACTGATGAAAAAGTGCATATGAGTACATTACTATTTCAAAACAAATATTGGCAAGTAGTGGGTTAATTGCTGCAGTTCCCTCTAAAATTTCGAACACGCTTATAATGGGCCAAATATGAGAATGAAAAATTGCAATCCATTTCAGTGCAATAAAATGTTGTAATTCATAAATAAACGCATAAAAGAAACAGAATTTTGAATAGATTATTTTGATGAACGTGAAAGAAAAGCATTTTACATGGTAGGATAATTAATTACTTAGCGGAATGCGGCAGTGTGCTGAGTTAAACTCTCAGCACGGCTTAGAAATTTCTAGACTTCGCAAGGAATTTTCGGCGCGGAATTTTTTCGAAGTATTCCAATGATTTCTCATTTAGCGTTAGGCCATCACCTCCAAAAGAGCGCGAAATGTTCGTTTCATCCACGGAAGTTGCCTCAAACAAAGAAAGCCCAACCCCCCCGAACAAAAGCTAAAAATGATCATTAATTCAGAGCCAGGCCGAAAAGAAGGCCGAAAATGAAAACCTAACTGCACCGGCCCATGGAAAATGCGTTTAGAACGAAATCACTTTCCAAAATAAATCTAACAATTTTCACAGACAAAAAACTAATTTTGCGAGTGATAAAAAAATAGGTGAATTGTTTGAAAGTGAAAATAATTCACCAATATATGTGTATGCAAACCCGGAACACTTTCAGTATAATAAAAACAACCATTCTCGTCCAAACCTACCGTAATAAACATAAAATGGTGAAAATATACATCAAATTAATGACAATCATAATGTAAGAGCGGTAAACGAAAAAATATTAAAATTCCGTTAGATATTAGAGCCTGACCAAGAGTAGCCTGACGAATAGAACAATGCAGCAGAGCGCTCAAGTCGAGAGCCACGATTACCGCCAGTTTCTATAAGAATTTTTTCACGTGTAAGCAACAGACGCACACGCACCGGCATAAAAATAGAAGAGCAATAAAAACAAACTAGACGACCGCAGCTACGCGGGTGCGTACACGACTATAGAATTGCCCGTAATACCGCTCGTAGTAAACTACTTCGCAACAATGACAAGTGCGTATAGGATTATTAATAAATAATACCTACCTCGCATGCCCTCTAACTATCTTCCTTCAGATGATACAATTTTCCAACTTAAATCAGACACCGGAGACTAGTGAATGTATAGATAACCATAAAGTCGGTACAAGAAGTAGAAAAAATTGAAACGTGCGACAAATTTAGATAGGGATTCAAGCAAAGGAACCAGAACCTTGTGGATTGCAAAATTAAATTAAAACAGTTAAATAATGCGTGCTAGGAAGTTTTCAGGAATAATCAATACCATTGAAGGAGAACTAAGAGAGGAATTGAAAATAAATTCAAAATTAAAAATAAATAAATAATCCATACATTCAAATCTACGTAACATCTATGGGTCACTTTTTCCATATATTCAGTAAACCCGGTGAAACATAATTCTTTGGAGCAAATAAATAGATAATGAAAGTAGAAAATGTAGCCCAATGTAAAAAATTTCGAACATTAGGAGCTAGAAAAATGCGCTAGTCAAGCGATAAACTCGACAACAATGTTCGAGCGATGCCATGTAATACATTCCACTGCATAAACCAGATGCCACGCCACGGAAAGAAATCTCGGAACTCCGAGCATTATTACCGGACAATCGTAAAATCTGCCATCGGAAAATGTATCGGAAACCTTCGAGCTCCGTCGAGGACACAGAGCTCATCTGGCTATGAGGATTTAGAAAGACATTGCTGCCTACAGATCATCTTTATGAATGAAAGGATGAAATGGAACGCCAGAAATTCTAGCAGCAATGTTAATCAAATTGGTATAAGTTTACTTTAAAATGGATAAAACTTCTTTCTATGACTTGCAATGAATTCAAGAATGACAGACCGAATCATCACAGGGAAACCTGGTGAAAACTGACTGAAACGATTAACGTGCGAGTACTCGTTCGTAAATCCAAACACTATATCTTTAAAATAATTAACAAGAGAATCATTTAATCAATTTAAAGAACAGCAATCAAATATTTCCTATTTCCCTGGAATTTTTTCAACTGGATGCGGAAAATAGTATAAAATATTTAATTTATTAAACATATAATGTTTTCAAAAACTAATCATTAGTACGAATTTATTCAGGGTCACGTCATATTTTATGCAAAACAATGGCAGCGAGTCAGCAATGGCCGGCAAAGGAGTAAACTAAAGCCGCGATCTTGGCAGCGACACTAATGAAGATGGCTACGGAGAGCCGCTAGGCCATGATTAACCGAGCATTGCATTACGGCACGGGAATGTTTCAAAGCTAGTTAACTCAAAGTAGATCATTAATTTATTATTTTCAGAGTAGTGAAAACGTTATTCAACAGGAAAAAGTAAATGAACTCACTACCAACTAGAGAGCAAACTCTTAATATAAAAGCTTCACCAGCAATTAGGCTCGACAAATCGACAATTATTGCGAGTAGTACGGGAATTTTAATGTGACCAAAATTCATTCAGTGGAAGGGGATAAATTAACATGCAACTATTTTCTGATTTAAATGATAATTTCGCTCGTATACGCATTATAAAAATCAGATTATCAGAACTATAAATGTTACTAATCCTAAACTTCGTGGCAGCGTGGCAAGAAAAAAAACTTTCTAGATAATCCAGCACACAAGACAACAAACAATAGAGGCACAGCAATAGAGTTATAAAGAATTGACTAAAGAAATAAGCTAGCAACTGTAGAAGTGAAAGAAGAGCACACGAGCACTGCACGTTTATTAAGCACGTCAAGAATAAGACGCACGGACGGCGGCCACGACAGCTCTGCCAAAACTGAGGGCAGTTGAGCAAGCAACCCTCGTGCAGCAACGGGCTACCGCAAGTGACTCAGACCAAAGGTCGGCAACCCACACTGTCCCATGATCGAAACGAAAAAACGAAAATAAACCCCGATAATGTAGTGAATATCGTCTTAAAGACAATTAAACACAATAAATGCAATTTGAGTTATATATAATATTTTTGCAGGGTGTGAGGGTATTTGATTAGGTAAAACTTGCTAATGAGGAACAAATCAACCAAAAATTACTAGTCAAAAAGCAAGAATATATAAATTACAGCTGTCTGGGGCAGAGAAATTTAGGCAGGCTACAGCAAGTAGTTGGAAATGATACTATGCATGCACACGACAATTTTTTTATAGAACTGACAGAGAAAACTAGGAAATGTTTTTGTACATGAGAAATAACGCATCAAAGGTGTCAGCAAGATTGCAGTGTTCGGAAGCGCTTTCAAAAAGGACTATTTGTTCTCTAACTAGCATGTTTCTAGTTACGCAGGTAAGTTTCATGAAATGACAAGCTCTGCAAAATGTGCAAAGTCATTGAACGTTACCGGAAAGACTTTTCATCGTCAGTTGGTACTTAAGAAATTTTTTCCTGCATCTTTAAAATCCTACAAACATTACCACCCGCTACTTAAAACGTATCTTGTCTTAAACGATGGAAAGAAATGACAAGTGCTAATAGAGATACTAAAGAAAAGAAATAAAAGTATGCTTATAAAAGATCAAATCAATGCAGGCTCTTTAGGCCAAATCCAAACATTACAAATTAATTACGAGCAGAGTATTATTAAAATACACAATCTTATTAAAGCAGTAATAATGCACGAGTGAAGAGAAAAAAAATATTCCTCGACAGACTTTACCTTGAGCGTAGAATCGACGGGTAATCCTTTGGATTCGGCATCGTTAGCCAGCACCCAGTAAGTCGAGTCCAGGGTCTCGTAGGTCACAAGTTTATCCTCGAGCTCCCTTTGCATCTGTCGCACCAAAGCCAAGGGTTCCTGCGTCGCTTTGCTAAGGTCATCGGCATTGCCAGGGGCAAGAGCCTGCAAACGAATTTTCTCCGTCCAGCGGTAAAGCTCCTCTGATCCGTCCAACAGGTTCCGGATGACGCTAAGCTTGGTCTCGAGGGCATTCTGGTAGTCCGGAAGGGCTTGGGAAAGCTGGTGACGGACGTGAACAAGGCATTTGTTAATGGGTCGGTGAGTGGTTCGACAAAATTCGCTGTAAAAATCTTGGATGCTTACGGGAAATTCGGTTCGGTATCTACGTCATGCATTCGTTCCATGAATCTCAGCTCCAGTTTGAAAACCATTTTTGTATTTGATTTGATAACAAAAACTAATATAATATTTATTCCTTTAATACAAATAAAACCTGAATTGCATCTAATCACATATTCACATTACACGTATGTTGGTCCAATATTAAAGGGATTTTTTAGTACTAGTATTATAATAAGAAGCAATTCAACATGAAACAGCAAGGTTCACATATATAAAACTGATGATAAATATCCTAACAAAAGAAGATCCTCAATAAATTCATTTTCATAATTATATACATATCTATATGACTCCTTGTGTGTTACGAGAGGAATCTATTTTAATGAGTTAGATTAAAAAATATGACTCACCTTATCGAGCTCTGTTTGTAGCTCGGCTACTTGTGTCTGTGACACCAGAGCTGGCTGCACGTCTTGTAAGGTTTTCACGAGCTGTTTCTTCGAGTTGAGTTCACTCACGTGGTTCTGTAATTAATTAACTTACAAATTTGCCACGGCTGTAGTGCGTTAGGCTAATGGTACAACGAAACATTGCATTTCGCAGTCAAATTGAGGAATAATTTACCTAGAAACGAAAGGATTTTTTTTAATAAATGATAGTATCACTCGCAACTTTGTCATGGAGACTATAGTTCGTATTCGATTCTTTTCGGGATGTGCACCGAAATAAAAGAAACACAAATAATGAGTGAGCGTAGCTTCTATATCAACGTTGTATGACTTGCAATCAAAGTTGAACTATCGCCTAAGACGTAAATAGCACGTTATACGTATATATAGTTTTTTCAACCAGATTCTGGCAGTTGAATACATTTTGAAAAACAAGAAGTTGAACACTTGTCAACAGAGCGACAAAATAAAAAGAATATTTTTCAACAGAGCGACAAATTAAAAACAATATTTGTCACCAAAGCGACAAAGTAAAAAGAATATTTTGTCGCCAGAGCGACAAAACAAAAAGAATATTTGTCAACAAAGCAACAAAATAAAAAAAATATATTTGTCAACAGAACGACAAAATAAAAAAATATTTGTCACCGAAGCGACAAAATAAAAAAAATATTTGTCAACAGAGCGACAAAATAAAAAGAATATTTGCCAACAGAGTGACAAAATAAAAAGAATATTTTTCACCGAAGCGAAAAAATAAAAAGAATATTTGTCACCAAAGCGACAAAATAAAAACTAATCAAGAGCGTTGTGTAATGTAACTCGTTGAGATAGATTGAGCTAATTAATTAAATGCCGCATGTTAGCCGACCGTCCCCACCTGCACCATCGTAGTGTGCGCTGCCACGGCCGACTCGTCCGTGACGTTCACAGGCGTCGAGAGCAGAGCGTGGGCCTGCTGCAGCCAGCCAGAGATGCTCTCGTACTGGCTGCCTCCGCCGCCCTCACTCGCGATTCTGGTCAGGTTATCACAGTGCTGTTTGTCTTTCTCGAATCGAGTTTTATTCTCATTTAACCAATTTAAACAATGTTTTTGACATGACAATCATCACACTCGCGATTCTGGTCAGGTTATCAGAGTGCTGTTTTTCTATCTCGAATCGTGTTTTATTCTTGAAAAATCATCATTTAACTAATTTAAACAATGTTTTTGACATGACAATCATCACTCGCGATTCTTGTCAGGTAATCAGAGTGCTGTTTTTCTTTCCGAATCGAATTTTATTCTGGAAAAATCACCATTTAACTAATTTAAACACTGTTTTTGACATGACAATCATCACTCGCGATTCTGGTCAGGTAATCAGAGTGCTGTTTTTCTTTCTGGAATCGAATTTTATTCTTGAGAATCATCATTTAACTAATTTAAACAATGTTTTTAAACCTGACAATCAGCCATTATATCAATTCATGTCGATACTTTTCTTCAACGGACATCTGTTATAAAGCTATATGACCAAATCATTAACATTAGATAATATTATCATCTTGCACTGTAATCAGGATCTTCTAAAAATAATTTTACAAACCAATTATTTCTACCAGTCTGAGTTCATTAGAATATATCACTAGAAACTTTCATTTGAGTTGGCCGATTAAGCACATGGTAGAAATCTGTTCATTGTTTCGTTCCTGCCTATAAATACGTCAATAATCTAGCATGCTAAGCGCGTATTCATCCCACTGAAATTAACTAGAATCTGAATTTTCTTGCACAGTTGTTTTCGCTTCCTGTAAACACCGCACTTGAAGAAAAGCTGATAAGAGCAAATTGAATCTAATTCCAATTCAGATTCAGGTTACCAGATGACGCGCATGAGGCCTTGAATGAGACGTGCTTGCAATTATTTATAAATTATTACGGGAACTCTAAGTGTAAACTAATATTTAATGAGAAAAAATTTAAAAAATAGTCAAATGATTTAAAATATTTAGAGATTACAGAGAGCAACATGCTTCAGGATTAGATTTTCAGGGCTTAATTCAATTCAGGTTTATTGACAAGATACATTTCCTCGTAATGGGATATTTACTTGAAATAATTCAACACCTGAAGTTTTTAATTGTTTGTTGTTAGTCGGATGTTAGATAGCGTAATAGTTTTTGGTAGCTTGTGCAGTTTCCATACAATCACCAGTGAATGAATTAAATTATTATTTAAGGAAGCTAATATTTGAACCGTGTAGCGTAGTCACGTCAAGCAACCTAACTAACCATAACTTGAGAGAAAACTAAACAATAGGAGACTAATTTTCACTTTTTGTAAAAAATAAAGCGCAGACGCAGCATAATAATTAACTCGAAAAAATAAAACTCATTCAAACACGATAAAAAACGTCTACTTAAAATTACTAAATTTTAAATAAAATGTGAATAGGAGTGAAAATGATTGGGACAATACCGACAGTGAATCTCAAGTCTGGTATCATGCTTAGGAACTGAAAAATATCGGTAGCTTACCTTTAAGCTCCAGTAACGTCATTTGAACTTATTATACTTCGACATTTGGGCAGAAGCTCTTCGATCCAGCTTATCAAAAAAAAAGCAAGCTCATTTTACTGATGTAATTCCACATTGAAAGGAATATTGTTATATTCTGCAGTGATTAGAGACGAATGACGGTAACTTTTACTGAAGTTTTAGCTATCATTGAGCCATTCGCAGCAGATCAATTAAAACTTACGCGATTAAAAAAGGCAACATGTATTGGACCGTGTTAATCAACTCTACGAGAGCCCCATTCCAGTCGCATAACTCAAAAAATGAGATGAATAGTTCTAAATATTACGCTATCATCGCTAACGCTATGAAGGTTATTACGCTATCAACGATAACCCATAAGCTCCATGTTAAACGCTCAAAAATAATTTCACATTTCATAGTTTCCAGCATCAGCCTTCGCTTCTTTAGTAGCGTAAATTTTTACCTCGAAAACTTCCTCTGTTTCTTTAGAGATGGAAATAAGCAAACGTAATCGAAACTCCTATCATACTGGCTAGTAGGGTTTTGATAAAATTCGATAAAAATTGCTGGTGAACGTTTTTTTTTCTCGATTAATTTAATAAGTAGATTAGTCACTCTTCCTCATAACAATCAATTTTATTCATCACTAAACGCAAAATATCACTGAGCAAAATCAACTTCGGAAGAGCACGTAACGTTACAAAAACGTTAACTAGAAATTATTGCACATGCATCAGGACATTCTTTTTGGCAGTTGGTAGTAACCTTCAGCGTACATGTTTCTTCGCACTGGAATGTATCATTCAGGGCACCGATTTTGAGGGCTCTTGTACGTTCGTTTCCGGGGGCACTTGGACTTTTTACCGTATAGCTGTTCCAGATTAAATTTAAAATGTTCATCCGACATTGCACGCATCTACAAATTTATCTTCAAGTTTTAACTGCGTTATGTACACTTGTATAATTTACACTAGTTTTTATTTTATGCAATCATGCCCTGCAAGCAATTAAATTCGTGAAACGACGGAGAAAATTATATCTCCATTGTTTTAAATAGGAGCAGACATGCCTGACTCCTCATGTGAAGTGGTGAGAAGCAAGGCGTTAAAAAGAACCTCAAGCACCCAAAACATTGCAAGGGACAAAGAACACGCGAGTTAGTCTCCACATTTTAATGAAGTTTTTCATACAAACACCAGCAGAAATTACAGTGAGTCATGTTAAAAGAAAAGCAGGGTTAGATGACATCAGTAAGTAGGACTGCACAACTTTATACAATAAATTACACAGATGTTTACAGACTCATACTAAAACCCTTTTTTAATAGGCATGCCTCACCAGAGGCAAAAAACAAACACACACACACCAATGGAAATCCCAATTTACAACTATTATCACATTACTTGTTGCTGCATGTGACGTGCACAATTTAAAATTTTAAAACTGGCTTCTTTTTTGTTTTGTTAAAAATGCATTTGGTTGAAAGGCAACCATTAAAAGCGCATTTATAAACAGTCAACAAAATATTAACGGAGAATTAGATTTAGAAGATCGAATTATTTGCCGCTATACTAGCTCTTAAATGTTTGTGTTAACCTGAGTAATCTCCAACAATCCAATAATGCTCGTAAACACCACGCAATTATTAATTACACGCAATTATTCCACTCGGTTTGAACGAAGAAAATTAAATATAAGAGAAAAAAATACATGAAGTCGGAAGAAGCATTGGCACTGAAATATATTTCAGTCAATTTATTAATGAATAAAATCGAGTGATCGTTTCAACAGATAAAACCAAGAAAACTCACGCTACATCAAAGCACAAAACTTTGTAACACGTTGTTCGACATATATTGCCCAGCGGCCTTCTTTCTAAAGTAATGGGTTGTTGCTCTATAAATATTCAGCGAAATACGGTTAAATGTTATAGCAAGGAAAGTGAAATTTTTTTAGATTGAACAACAAGAGGCTCAAGAGCAAACAAATTTACAGCTAGAAGTTGACGAGAGAAATAAATAGAAGATCCATTAAATAAGGATATTAGTATTGCCACAAAATAGAGTGAAAACCCAAAAAAACAAACGTGTCAAGGAAAAAAATGAACTAGAAAAAGAATCAGAAAAATAATGAAAGATACCAATGCCATAAAACACAAAAAGTGAAGATATAAACAAAAACTAAACGAGGAAATTTAAATTCAAATATGCAATTTATAGTAGTGTATATATTATATACACTAGTTCAAATATTTTCAGGATTTATAATACAAAATAATACAAATGAATTTTTCCTGTAACGAAGATATTACTTCATGTATACGACGAAACAAATCATGCTCATGTTTCAGTATAATCGTCAGTGCCAAAAACCGCTGGGTAACGCCATTGCCTTTAAAACATTTTTTAGTAGGAATAATGAAATTTTTTGAGACACGTGACCTACAATAAGTTGATATTCCAAAGTACCCAAACGAAGAGTAGTAATTCAAATAACAATATTACGATATTTAATACCATACAGTTACGGTATTCAATACCATACAGTTACGGTATTCAATGTCATACAGTTACGGTATTCAACACCATACAGTTACGGCACTCAATACCATACAGTTACAGGTACGGTATTCAATACCATACAGTTACGGGATTCAATACCATACAGTTACAGTTACGGTATTCAATACCATACAGTTACAGGTACGGTATTCAATACCATACAGTTACGGTATTCAATGTCATACACAGTTACGGTATTCAACACCATACAGTTACGGCACTCAATACCATACAGTTACAGGTACGGTATTCAATACCATACAGTTACGGTATTCAATACCATACAGTTACGGTACGGTATTCAATACCAATACCAGCAATAGCGACGCATTGCCTGCTAGACAAGAGGAAGATGGGTTGACGAAGACTCACCTGTTCCTCCTGGCGGCAAGCTCGTGCAGGATGGCGCGCCACCTCTGCAGGGCGCCGTCCAGCCTCTGCTGCAGGATACCGCGTTCTGATGCCGGCAGTCCCTCCATCACCTCCGTGCACAGCTCCTGCACCTTCTGGCTCACTCTGGTCATAGTGGCGACCAATTGATCATATTATTATGATCATATTATTATGATCACATTATTATGATCATATTATTATGAGCTAGGTACAGATTATGAAGACTTTCTATTGTAATTTTGTAGTCAAGACGATACATTAGCGTTAGCTCCAGCAACTGATGGCTCACTAACATCAAAAAATAGCTACAGATTATGAAGATTTTCTACTGTAATTTTGCAGTCATGACAATACATTAGCGTTAGCTCCGGCATCTAATGGCTTGCCACGAGGGCATTTAAGAATTCTAAGTGGTCCTGAGGATAGAAAAATAAGTCATGTGCATTGATTTCAGAATTTAAAATGCAGCGCAATCTTTCCAGTCTTGGCTCTTTTTTTAGCTAAATTTTTTACCTTTGCCCTATTTTGGTGTATGAACTTTTGAGGGCAGTTCTGAATCACTGTTGACAAATTTAATATTTTAGAGATTTTCTGGGTGAATCTACGATATTGAATGTTCAATACGGCGTTTGTTCTCACTCTGTGATAAATATTTAACAATTAAAATGCAATTTATCAAAGAAACAACACTTTCAAACGCCAGCATTCACCTCGGAAAATTAAACCACTTTCGTTTTACTTTTCCAATGTTGTAAACCTGAACTAATGGCAGCATTTTTCAATAATTACTAAAGCTATTAACCATACCTGTGCTTGAGGGTAACTTGCTTCTCAAGTTCCTTTTGGGTGAGTTTAGCTTGCGTGAGCGGCTCATCCTGCGAGACACGCAGTCTATCTTCAGTCTCACTGAGCCACTGCGTGAAGCCTGTGAGACTCGACTGCAGCGAATGCCACGTAGCCTGGCGCTCAGCGAGAGATGCGTGCCATTCATTCACTGAGCGGTTCACCTGCACAGAAATAAATGTAATAATACAAAATATAACTCGGTACTCACTGCAGTGAGTGACAGAGAGCGCATTTTCTCGTCGACGAAAACATGGAGTCACGGACGGACATGACGAGCACAATAGCGCCTTTTTTCTATAAATGAGAAAATGCGCTAAAAATAATGTAATAATAATGTAATGTATTAATAATAACAAATGTAATAAATATGTTGCTCGACTGAATTGCGAGCCATTCACTCATTCACGCTGAGGTACACAGAGGAACTGTGATAAATAAAGTCACTCACACAGAATAATCAGGAGCACTGTCATTCACCGAGTTCTCCATATAACTGAGTTACAAATTATTTCTATAAAATACCCACTTTCTGGGTAGAAGATCATAAATGAACTTGAATAAACTAAGACAGACCTGCGACCATTCCTGACGAAGCTTGTCGGTGATTCGTCGCACTTGGTCGGTTTGCTGAGCGTTGCCGGTGGCGCTCTTGATAGCAACGCTGCGTTCGTCCTCCACTCGCTCCACTAATTCCTTCGTCTCCGCCAGGCGCAACTGCAGCTTCTGAATCGCGGAAACAACAAAATATTATACAGGGTGATTCTGAATCGTGGAGATAACAAATTATTATACAAGGTAATTGTGCATCGTGGAAATAAAACATTATTATACTGGGTAATTCTGAATCGTGGAGATAACAAATTATTATACAGGGTAATATCATTAATGGCCACGGTGTACAACCTAGCAAAATTTGTAATGAACAAAACATAATAGAAAAATTGTAAATCGAAGTGAGAGATCTGAATTTTAAATAACCAGCACGATTGTCATCGTAACTGGCAAAGACATATTCGTTTTAATCGTTGACAAATGATTGGAATAGAGAGAAAAAACCCTCAATTCAGTTTATAAATTACATCCATTTGCTGGCATTCTCTCTTTGTGAGTTGGACTTGCCAGAAAAATGTATAAGTCATATACCCAAATACTAATCGAATATTCACAAGTCAAAGACCCGTACTCACTCGTATCTCATTCTGCTGAACATTGAGGGCCTGATAAGCGTGCTTGTGTGGCGTCATCTGCCTGGCAATGGAAGAAACGTTCTCACGGACTTTGTTGACAGAGGCCACGTAGTCTGGTACCACCGAAGGGCTCCCCGCCTGCATGAAAACATTTATAAGCTCGAAGCACAATTCATATTCTCAGGTTTTAGCGCATTTTCTCATTTATGGAAAAAAGGCGCTATTGTGCTCGTCATCGTCATGTCCGTCCGTCCGTCTGTCTGCTCGTCCGTTACTTCACGTTTTCGTCGACGAGAAAATGCGCTCTCTGTTACTCGCTGCAGTGAGTACAGAGTTATTTTTTTATATATGTTCTCAGACGCTATTTATTCGGCATTGAACGTACATGGTGTTTGTGCGAGATTCAGCGACAGCTTTAAGTGAATAAAATATGTCTTTAGAGAAATTCTGATAGTTATTGCGATTCAAGTATCCTTGCAGTCATTTCAATTTTGCTCACTGCTATTTTCAGCTATATCCTTATAACTAACCAGGTCTACGATCCAAATAAAGGATCCTCATAAAGCCAATCACTGAGTCAATAGAATAACTTAAAAACTAACGATTATCACAGCGAACAAAAAGTAAAATGTGTAATTTGGGGTCAAAATTTGAAAACCGCAGCATTCAAGTGGCCATATTTAAAAAAAATCAAAATTTCACAAGTTCGCTAGCCAATCACTGACGGCTTCTCAAGCAAAACCACCAATCACAGCCTGGAAATCAGCCACTACGTGTATATACTTAAGCAATTTTCACAAAAGGAGAATTTTTTACTTCAAACATACAAACAGTCACAACAATTTTTACAAATATACATGCATAAAAATAAAATTTACACAGATATTGCAATTAATAGTTCGACAGTTATCGCGTGATTGAGCCTTGATAAATAAAGATTTTATTCAAGTTATATACAATCATTAACGCATATAATAGTCACAAAGAATATTACTCTCTTTTAAAGTCATCATCGAAACAATAGTCCTGCGAAGAATCACTGAATATTTTTTAATTAAATCTCACCGCAATACTAACTTTCAAGCCATTTGGCCTAAATTTTACAAGCCTTTGTGCCTGGAACTACCCAGTGAAAATTTACAGACGTGGCAGCTTCTGATTTGGGTTACCAGAAGCTGGGGCGACTCTAAATTTTGTTAGGGTATGTGTATATACATGAGCAATTTTCACAAAAGCACGGTCCTAGATTGTATCTACCTGTGAGCGAAGTCTACATGATGGGTCAGAGGCGCCCTGCTGCCTGTATCGCTCGAGTAGTGCCGTGATCTCCGTCCAGCGCGAGTTTACCACGGCCAGGGAAGGCAGTAACTGCTGGTGTCGATACTTCGTCAGTAGCGCCGCTGTCGTGTTCAACTCGTCCACTGCGCTCCGTTTAGCTGACAGCTCGCGTTCCAGAGTCTGAGTGCCAGCAGATGAAGGAATGAATATTTTAAAACAAAGTATTAACTTAAAGACAAGTGTGCGAGCTCACGTTCCTGAGTCTGAGTGCCAGCAGATGGAGGAATGAATATTTTTTAAACAAGGTATTAACTTAACGACAAGTGTGCGAGCTCGCGTTCCAGATTCTGAGTGCCAGCAGATGAAGGAATGAATATTTTTAAACAAGGTATTAACTTAAAGACAAGTGAGCGTGAGTGGGTATTTGGAGGATGCGATAATTTCGATTATATGCTACGTTTTAAGAACACAAATAAATTTAAAAACGTTATTCAGCAGAAGATCAGAAAAATTAAATGCTAAAAATATTCGCTAAGAAAGAAGCTTCACATCAAATAAACTGTTACAAGGTGGAAGATATTGTTGAGTTTGGACAGTCAATATTAAAATATGTGAGCAAATAATCCCTAACCGGAAGCAGCGAGTAGTCCGTGTCGAGGAGATGCAGGCGTTTGTTGAAGTCGTTGAGCCACGAGACGAGATCGTTGACGCGCTCGGACGACCCGCCTAGCTCCTTGGTTACGAGTTCGCTCTCCGCCTTGACTACCTGGTATAGTTGTAGGCGCCGGGGCAATGATGAATTTCTTGTCGTGAATACGACATCAAGTCAACTAATAAGTCTCTAATAATAATATGTAATAATATTACATATTACTATTAGAGACTTGCGAGTCTCTAATCTAATCCTTATAATAATCTTAAATTATTATTAGAGACGTATGAGTCTTATTTCGTATGAGTTGACTTTAATAATAAGTCAACTCGTACGAAAAACATAACTGCAGATTGCGTTAATGACATTGAAATTTGAAACTCTTAAAAATGCCTTAGATGCAGTAAAGTCACCTAGAGTGTTAATGACTTTGAAATTTGGAATTTAATAAAAAAAACTTAGAGGTAGTAAGGTAGTAAAGTCACTCTAAAGTGTTAATGACATTGAAATTTGAATTTTTTTAAAAGAATAACTTAGATGTAGTTAAGTCACCTAGAGAGTTAATGACTTTGAAATTTGGCATTAAAAAACAACTTAGAGGTAGTAAAGTCACCTGGGTTTGAGCCTTCAGCTGAGACCAGGTAGCCTTGAGATCTTCAAGAGAGTTCCTGATAGCAGACTTTATATTATCAGTGTCCTCAAGACGAGGGGAGAGGATGAGTGACTCCCCAAACGATATTGCGGCGGCCACCTCAGGATCTAACGCCCCCACCTCCTGCTCCAGCGCCATCGCATTGTTGCTTGCTTGCGACACAACAGGCACGACTTGAGCTTTCATGCGCACCGCTGCTATTTTATCTACCAACGCTGCCACCTTCTCGAGGTACTGTGATGTGTCCAGGACATCGTCGCTCTGCAATATGACTTAATTACTTACTTAGTATTAGCAATACTACAAACCTGATCCTACCTCAATTTATCTCATTAGTTTTTGATATCTCAACTTTTACTACGCCCAGCTTCGTTTCATAGCTACATGATCTAGCCAGGTAAACGTCAGTCATTTCAGTATGAATCTGATTTTATTACAGTTTTCTTCTCTTTGTATCAGCAACATGGCAAGTATGGTGAGCGTTTATTACAGTTCTATTAGACAGTATTATATCATCGTAATGCATGAAATAAATCGAAAATACTCAAACAGCCTAACACAAAAATACGGAACTACTTGCCAGCGCGGAAAGGTAGGTAGAAGTTTTAGTGGTGGTAGTGACGCTTGTAGAAGATGACAAGCACGCACTAGAGACGATATCAACAACGGTGCTACGGACAGAACTTGGGCTTTCTCGACTAGCCACAATAGATGCTTCGGTAGCAGCGGTTTCGCTGGAGCTTCTCTGGAGCATCTCTTTTTGCATCTTTTCTTGTTTCTATGGGACAGCGAACACAAAGTTAGGCTCACATATTTGGGTTATCTCTCAGGCGTTCCCTCGAGAATCCAAAGTTTATACTTATTACGAAATTACACCACACTATCGAATGTTCAAAGTGTTCCATTACATAATTATTAAGTAACGCTAAATGTTACTAACTTGCGAAAGTCATAAGATCGATTTATCTTTCAAACATCGTTGGGTAAAGTATAGTCAGATATTTATAAAAATAACGTCTCAACATTGGTCGGATTATAGTTATGCAGGTGAGAAACTGACATGCGTATAAAATTTAGATAGAATTCGTATACTACTTTTGATGCAGCATGCAGAACCTTTCCTGATCGACAGAGTTAATGTTATACCGAGACTACAAAAATGACTATAACATCCATGACATCTTTAATGTTTATATAGATGCAAACGATTTTTTATTTTTTTATTAATAAAAACACGTAGAATAATTAGTTGTTGTTAAGATTAGTGGACACTAAGAAAGAAAAGATATGTTAATAGCATTGGAGTACGAGGGTTTAATCATATAAATAAACCATAACTGTTGAGTTAGAATAAGTAAAATGGCCTACAAAAATATCGAATGAACATTGGAATGAAATTATATATTTTCTGGGCTGTAGCATGAACAAATTATTCCAGAAAAACCATCGAGCGCCATCAATTGTTTTGCTGTTAATGAGTAATCAATTGGATAACAACTCGAAAATTTCGAGAACATGTGAATAAATATACAGTTTAATAAGGGGCAGAAAGAGTATCAGTTTCTGGAAAGCAAGTTGTTTAGCCTGTAGCAAGGACGACCAGGATCTTGCACCGTTTAGTTGCCGAGTCAACAAGGTTTAGAGGCATAGCAGAGTTCCGATAAACGATGATGATAGTCTTTCATTTTTTTTTTTTTTTTGAACGAGTGGAGTTGGTCTCACCTCCACCCATAGCTTTATTTGCTCCTCTTCAAACGTAAGATCCTCATCAGAAGTTTCTCCTCGGGTTATTTCATCTTCAGTTTCGCTGAAGCCCAAAATATGACTGTCGCTGATCTCTGTGTCGAAACTTGAAATGCTAGTGCGATAAATCACCTCTTTTTTGATAGTTACGGGATGCAAAGAGGATGAATCAGAGGCTTTCACACGCATTGTTATTCCACTGATCAGGCTCGCCGAGTCAAGCTTCAAAGCTTCATCTTTGATCCCTGAATGTGAGTGTAAAACTTCCTTCTTTGTTGATCTGCCGGTCAATTCAGCCGTCGAATATATACAATAGTCTTCTTCGGGACCTTTCGACGAACTACTCATTCTCTCGTTCTGTGCTGCAGTTTTAGTCGTTAAAAATGTTCTTGACGAAGCTTTAGAAGGCGGTAGAATGCGATCAATGGATGCACGGCGGCGTTCCTCATACGGCAAAATATCGACTTTGAAGCTTGAAGGGGTCTTGGGTGGAATTGTCGTTAAGTACCGCGGCCGTTTGGTATCATCGGATGCGGCATCCTCTTTCTCGGACACTTGAGAATCTGACAAATCCATTGTGATTTCTTGTTCTTCCATGGAATCGGAGGATGGAGCATCAATGAAAGTATGAGCAAGATCGGGTTCGGCATGATTATCGGTTTGCGTGCTCGATGCTTTCTTCCTTGGGACAGACGTGTATACAATTGTTCGAGGAGTCCCACTCATTGAATCCGTTGAGCTAACTGAATCTTTAGGTTTCTGAAGAATGCCCTCCGCAGAGACGGATCTTAGCATGACTTTAGGATCGCGAGGAAGAGAACCCTTGTGCTTGGGTCCCGTAATAGAATTGTTGCGTGAAAGCTCGGCGGATGGATTGAAAATAACAGTGTCAGCGTCGGAAATTGTCGACACTGAACTATCCATGCTAACGTGCCTCTCGAGACGCAGCCTAACTGGAATTCCTGACAAAATTTCAACATCTAACTTACGAGAACTCAAGGGAGACTTCGATCCTTGCACTCCATCGCTGATATTGGATGAGATTTTATCCTTGCTAGCTAATTTATTTTCAAGTTCAGGTCTGTAACGATTACTGTCGTTAAGCTTCCCTAATGATGATTCAGTCTTAGTGCTCATTACAATGCCATCTAGTTTATCCTTGGCGTATGCATTGAAGAGAACACCACGCATGGACACGGAGGAATCAGATACGGTCTCCATAATGGTTTCATCAGCAACAGAATCACAGCGCTCCGTGCTTGTCCGCCGACTGTTTTCCAAGACCTGCGAGACGGCGTTCTCGTAAAGTGTGGCAGCCGATATTCTGTTTTTAGACGGTTTATCCGGAGCTTCACTTTCATCGGACGAAGACTGTTCTGCCTGATGCTTGGAATCAGTAGCGTCAGTGTCGAAGTCTTCTAAGCACATGTCTCCACTAGCTATGTATTTATCCGTGGAGAAGCTGCCCATGCTTGCGTAACTGAATCGCGAGTCAGCATCGCAGGCGGTGCTCGAAGATACCATCTCAATACCGGTCTCTTTGTAAAACCAATCGCTAAAGTCACCAGAAGGAATACTTCTGTTCTCAGAACCAAAATCAACGGAGCTCTCGTCAGATAAACCCGCCATGCTGGACGCGCAGCTAGAGCCATGCTTGTAATCGGAAGAGCTGCAAGAGCTTCTGTCTTGAGAAGAAAGACGCTTCAAAGGATGAGGTTCACTCATGATTGCAACTTCACTGCTGCGGTAAAGCTTCCCGTAGCGCTTCGATGTCTGCAATGCAGCAGCAGAATCGACCAGATTTCGTTTTTTGGCCTCATGCCACTGACTATTGAGGCTATCAATAAATGACTCTGCATCTGAACCCAAAGCAGAGCCATCTGAAGAACTACGCGCGGTTTCGAGACCTACTGAGCCATCGTATGGATTGACACGATTACCTAATCCTGGTAGATAGCTCCTTTCCACCTGTAGAATTAAAAAATATCACACAATTAAACACAAAACAAAAACTCCATCATCTAAAGTTATTACAACCAGTCGATTAGTAGTACGATCAATAATCAACTCAAACACAATGGGTAGTCTACGAAGCTACACATGAAGCAACACGCATCGTTAGAAGGTCGATAACGTTGATGAAGTGAGAGAAAACACTCCTTACTCACTGAGTTATCAGCATAGTCTTGACAAGAAGTAGAGCCAGAAATAGTGAAATGATTTGGAGGTTTAACATTTGGTAGAGACTGCCTTTTTTGTATCAGTTCAGCCTGCCTTATTCTCTCCCAATCAATACGAGCATAAGGTACGTAGTTCATCTCAGATGGCAATGTTTCACGTCTTGCTGTCGAGCTGGCTGGTAAGCTAGCTGTTCGTGAGTCCACACGAGCTTCTGCGCCAGCAGCAATACGCTTTCGAGTTATCATGGGCTGTTGATTATTAAACGATGACAAAACGCTAGATCGACGCTCCTCGGCTATAATCTTGCCCAAGTCTTCTTTCGCGAAAGGCACATAATGAATCGTATCATCGAGTTCATCTGAATCACTAGCGTAGGAGTAGCGGGACGGCTTCCATTCAAATGTTTCAGGAGACAAAAACAAACTCATTTTCCCAGAATCAACGCTCTTTTTCTTGGATTGCACGTTTTCATTTCGCGGTTTTTCTGATTTGGGCTCGATGATTCTCACAGGAGAAGCGTCTTCATCAGATTCTTCTTTTATGGCTTTATTAGATTTACTTGTACTTTTGAAAGTAGTCGAAGACATCAGGCACGGCCCACAACATCCTGTGGTCTTCGAATCGTCACCATTAGTAGTATTCAATTTCGTGTCAGAGATAGAACTTTTCGTATAGCCAGAGGACAGTCTACGCAAAGAAGTCAATTTCACAGAAGACTCTCTGATAATATTTCCGGGAACGGGAGCACTTTTTCGTTCCGATATTGACATTGGAGATGAAATTTCTTTTGCTTTGTCTCGAAAAACAACAGGCCCTTCTACAACTTGAGCCACAGTGCTCGGAATAGGTTCGACAATTTTTTCTTGAGGGGCACAAATTTTACTGGTCAAAGACACAGGGCCCGTTGATGCAGGAGAAAGAAAAGGCACGTACTGAATGTCGGTAGGTAAGGATTTCTCGGGAGGAGCTTTAGGAGGAGAATCTTGAGCGTGTAGAGAACGCATATTGGCAGAAAACGGGACATACTGCACATCTTTGTCGGACTTAGCAAAATCGAATTGACTTTCGTGTGTATCAGGTTTACTTTTTCTCACGGTTAACAGTGAGGGCACAGATTTGTTCGTGGAAGTGGGTAAAAATGCCTGTGACGGGGATGTTCCGAGAAATGCTACAGACGGATCACTGGAGTAAAACGGAACGTAATGCACACCAATCATATCTTCATTCTCCGATGGACCTAACACAGTGCAATCCTTTTTGGGCTGCAATACTGGAACTCTAGCCACATCGGGGGGACCTATTGAAATTATTTGACCTTGTGAAGAAGCATTTATACTCCCGCATGATTTAGACGAACATATGCCAGTTTGAGGTGAACTAAGTAAATCAGACGAGTCTGAAGTTGTAAAAGACTCAAACGACTTCCCTTCATCAGATAAACTTTGTATGAACTTTTTACGACTTTTTAGCCTAGACATTGGCTTTGGAGGAGTGGTTTTGTCACAAGAAGCATCAACCACTTTTCCTTGAAAATCTTCCATGGGGATAACTATATCAGGTTCGTCTGAGGCCACTGCCATTTGAGTTTCAGTAGTTGATAATGAATAAAAAGCATCGGCGGATGTATGAGGAGTTTCTTTAAGCTCAAGATTAAGGTTACCTTGCACAGACTTCCTACATACACGTCTTGCAGCAGCAACATGGGCAGAAGCTTCAAGCAAAGTAAGAGAATCATCGTCATCATCTTTAACACCATGACTCTGATCTTGCGTACGAGGTTCACTTCGATCATCATTTGTCACAGGCACGTTTTCCTCGCAAATTTTCGCATTCACTTCGGTCTCTTCTTGAACAAACGAAGCAGAGTTTATGGGAGTTGTACTCTGCGTATTGTATTCCACTACACAATCTATGGGAGTACAGTCAACAGGCAATAAATCTGAAGGATCGCAACTTATAGCAATACATGTAGTTTGATCTACGGGATGCACCGTATCAGCAATGTCTGTATAAGTGTTAGATTCAATTTTTCCATTACTAAATGTTAAACCTGAAGAAACTGTCACGCAAGTACCAGGAGAGACACCATGTTCGTAGACGTCAAGCAGAGAAGAAGAAGTGGAAAGAGTTATGGTCGGTGAAGTAGCGTCAAGATCTGGGATGACAGAAGGAGAAGAGTGTGTATGTCCCCCACATGCAGTGATTTCCTGAAAAATAAGACAATCCGTGAATTGAAATTTTCTATCTACAAGAATGGATTGAAAACACCAGGAAGGAATGAGGAAGGAGGGGTGAACACACCAACTATGAACGTGAACCTGTGACTTGGTGTGTGGCATAAAGACGTCCGTTAGTCCGGTCTCGTTTCAACCATCGCTCACCCACATCGAACGAAAAACTGTTAGTTGTCACAGTAAAGTTGTCAATGAAATAACTGACACATTGCACTCACCTCGGAAGAATTCTTGAACAGTATAATGTTTCTTTCACCGTTTCTATTAAAGTTTTCCTGACACTTCCTTGAAGCCAAAGACTCTTCAGACGTTGGCCGGGAGTGGAGAGTGACGAAGGTTGCATTCTCAGGAATGGGGGGGTAGAACGTTTCCGATGATGGAATGAAGATTACGTTAGATGAAGATTTATCGCACAAATAACTGGAGTCGACAGAACGACTCCTTACGAACTCAGGTTTAGCGAACTTTACCTTCGTTGTAATAGACTCGCTAGTTCGCACGGACGATAATGATACGGAGCTGGGATTCTCGTGCTTTTTCTTGGTAGCCAATTCGGTAGATTGCTTCGTATCTCCTGTACTTCGCGCCTCTTGCTCCCTGGAGTGTGAAATATCCTTGCCTGGTGGTATCAACTCGGTTCTAGATTCGCCAGGTTTTCCTTCGGCAACTCTGGGCTCTGCGGTATCGCCATCATTGGAGTCCGTGTCACTAATTACTTGATCCAGCTCAGCTATCATGGCTTCGAGTTTTTCGACAGGTAATAAATCGAATTTGGTGGAATATTCTCCTTTGACGTGGACTTTTTCAGCGCTATTTAGTTTGCGGTTTTTCAACGGAGTCGAAGACAATTTATCGTTGGAAGTCAGTTTTATGACAGCTTCACTGCGGTAGTTTTCCGTTTCTGACTCGGGTGCAAGTTTAGCATATAGCTTGGAAGTCTCGGCTAAATAAACTTCGGGAGGAAGAGGTGTGACACCACCTGTAGTTGAGAGTAAGTCACGAGAAGATACTGACTCATTGACACTCTCGAGATCAGAGTAAGTACACTCCAGGTCACGACTCGTCTCCGAAGCTGGAGCCATGTCTGTGTCCACCGAACAAAGTGATTCTAAATCATCATCATCAAGCTCGGATCGTTTGGGCATGTTCAATAAGGAAAGCTTTTCAACCAAGAAACTCTCTACCGGAATGTTCCTGCTTGAAGCTTTTTTCTTTATTCTCTCGAAAACGTTAGGTTTCATCTCCCTCTCTGCTACTCGTTTCAGACTAGCAATAAGATCATCAAGGTTATCTGCATCGGCATCTTTATCGATAACCTTCCGTTTTCTGGGTCTAACTGGTGAACCTTCAACTGAGTGGTCAGTGGAGTTAGGATCAAACGACGTGGGATCTTTGTTCGGAAACTTGGGCACGCTGAACTGACGCTTACTCTGCAGAACATTCCAAGGCTGTTTCAAAGGCTGCAGTCGACTCTTGGCAAACGCAGACGTATTATGCTTCAGAGCAGCCTCTGTCTCCGCATTCTTCAGAGCGGCCCCTGTCTCCGCATCAGTGGAGCTATCCAATCTTGGTGAGTTTAGAACAGTCTCCATTTTGGTCGAATAAGTCTTTACGGTACTTGGAATAAAATCAGAAGTCATTATAGTCTTCACATCACACGATTGACTGCCCTGACGTGACTTAGGGTCGCTTGTAGAGAATGATGAGAGTTGCGATTCTTGATGTAACGGCGAAGTTCGCTCGCCTGTACCAGAACCAACCTCTTCGTGTGTCTCAAGCACTTGTTGACGTTCATCTAGTTTGCGCTGCAATAAAAAACGTTCAACGAAAACAATCCAATGCATGTAGCTCAAATTACATTACGAGGAGCAAACAAAATCAACATTTATGGCCATCTTTTGATCGTTCAAGATGTGGGAACAGAACAATGAGGGCCCAAACATAACAACAAAATCTTAAGTAATAAAGCAAATGAGTGTTTAATCAAAATAATGAGGTCCAAATACCACCCACACAACAATAAGATGTTGAACAGTTAGTGAAGCAAGTTTCTAGTTGTTATGGTGCGTCAGGATGAATCTAAATCATTTCATTAGGTTTACTAATAACGGACAGGGAGGTTTACAGCGGTAGTTTAAAACGAACTAATAACATTTTCTATCCTATATTCTGCAAGTGAACTGCAAAGGGCGTATCACAGAAAGAACGAAGCGAAAGGCGGGACAAATAAATCACATTGTCATCATATTAGCAAATTTAAAGGCATGCACAACGACGAACACTGTATGCAGTTCAAATAACCTTTTATGCCACGTGAGAGGAAAAGTTTATTCTTCGTTTAGAAGCCTTAAGTGATCGGTGCGACATGCTTATTGACAGACATTGCTGATAGTTTGGTGAACTTAACGTAACACGAAACTTTAGAAGACATCAGGAGCAGTAAACACGACTTGTTCTTGAGACATGGCTACATTCACAGTTATGTGGATTATGATAAAACTTATAATGAAATTCTGCCAAACACTATGCAGAATCTCCATTTGTAACTAGAAAATGGTGAAGAAAATACTTTAATCTTTTCCTAATATGATATGATTTACCCCGATTCAAGTCGTCAAGGAGAACATATATATAATAACATGAACTAATAATCACTGAAAATTATGTAGAACAAACATTCAAAGCGTCTGAACAAGGAATAATTCCACTGCGCTGTGTTCATGTAACACCATTACTTTCAATAGCCTTAAATAATTGCTGATTGAGTATATCAATTAACTTTAAAAATGACTAAAACCGTGCGTTACATCAATATTTCATATAAACCTGAAATTCTTCAGGTAAAAAAATCAAAAAATAACCTTCCATTAAGACATTGAAACCACATTCAAGAGATAGATGGCAAAAAATGTCATCATGACATGACGCAATACATGTCATCATGACATGTACCTGCACCCGGTACATGGCGCATCATGGAAGACGCAAAAAAAAAAGAAAAAAAATAACCTTCTCTTGAGACATTGAAGGCACATTCAAGAGATAAATGGCAAGCTCGTGGGCAGACCGACCTTAACCTGAGCGTTGATATTCTCCCAGCGCCGCGAGATATCGCGTAGCTCAGGCTCGAGCTTGTCGCCGTAGAGAGTCCCGTGTAAGATGTGCGACGCGCTCGCCGTCTTGATGGCCTCCACGGCACTTTGGTACTGCACCACCTCCTCAGACAGCACCTGTACATTAAATAGAACAATATTATTCTTTACGCACACTTCTCGCGCTTATCGTTCCCTAACTTTGCGTCAATGATATTTTAGAGTCCACAGTTTAGGCTTAACAATCAAATTAGTTTAGTCCTCTATGGATTATTCCGACGCTTGTGCAATGACAAAATTCAAGTGGCAGTTATGTATATATAGAATTAATAATATATATAATCTATATATATATATATATAGAATTAATAGGCTTTTATGTTAAAAAATTCTATACATGCCTTCAGCAATGCCGCGCGATCGCTGGTGTTCTGCTCCTGTGCCAACTTTTGCTCGGTGCCCTCGAGCCAAGCTTTGATGTCAGCGAGATGCAGAATATACTCGGACATTTCGCCTTCCTTCTGCTCCTCGACCGCCTGCACAAGCGATCACCGCTATTTTTGCTACACCTAACATAATTAATACGAGCTCTGGTATTGTTTTTCCAAATCAATACAGACCATAAAACAATACATGTATATCTGAAAGTTAACAAGGAAAGGAGTAAAGAATTTAGAAGCAAAGAAAACGCCAAGAAAATTCACCATATCGATATCGAAAACGTTTCGGAGTCCAGCTCCATCATCAGTACGTTTTCTTTGCTTTTAAATTCCTTGTGAACTTTCGATATGAGCAGACTGATAATATAAGTACTTATATACGATCTAAATACGGCGAGAAAGGAGTAACATACAAAAAACGAACATATGGAAGTTCAATGATAAGATAACGATGATACAAGATGATGGATCTGTAGTTTAAAGGAACAATGGATGATGTAACTCACATCGTAAGCATGTTTGGCATCCATGAGGAGAGCGGTACATTTCTCCCAACGCTTCCCAAGCTCCTCCAGCGCATTCTGGATCTCGGTGAACCCTCCATCAGCAGCAAGGCCGGCCAGGTAGTTGTAGCTCTCGCAGGCGCCCGTCAGCAGAGGACGCTTTACTCGCAACTCCTCCAAGGCCACCTAAGTAAGTAATCGGGTCTCAAAACTACACTATTGACATAAACTAAAAATAACTATTTTTTATGGGCGATGTTTTTGCAATAGCAGAATCCTTCCCTCATCCATCTCACACTCACCTTAATATACTGAATGTGTTGCTGGTGTTGCCCAGGATCCATTGTATCAGCAGAAACAGCGAGCGTTTTTTCGGTAGCAGCGAGGAGCTTCTCAGCAGCGGCCATATCGCGCTCCAGCTTTCGCGACTGCTGGACTCCTCTTTCCAGGTCACTTCGGCGCACGGTCACATCGCTGCCAAGCTGCACAGAACATTCTCAGCTCGCAGGTTCCTTAATTTTACACATGAATCTTTCACACGAAATGGCTAGTTAGTATAAAATGCCTGCTACGAAATGTCACTTTCATACTTTATGACAGCCGTGCGATTCCTCAGCCATAGTTGGTTGATGAGGTAATTTTTATCTTAACCCACAACCCCTTAACCCCTTAGATATCCGATACAGCAAGAGGGTCAAATCATAACTCAACTTTATGCTCACAAAATCTGTTCCTTTATTTTAAATATCTACAAAAAACTTTCGCAACAAGGTTTTGAAAATTGACGCAAGGAACTACGCACCGTCGAGAAGTAACTGTAATTGAGACCTTGGCTGGAAATGAAGAGTTTTGCTCACCTGATTGTAGAGCGCCTTGAGATCGTCAAGCTTGGACGACAATGTGTGGGGCTGAGTCGATATTTTCTCCTTGACGAGACGTCGGCCGCTGGCTAGTGTGCTTTCAATGGTTGCTTTCACTTCGCTCAGTTCACGATACACGACCTTCACAACAGAGGTATTCTTAACAATCAAAATTGAATATTAAATGTTCAACGGAATAACAGGATAAATCATAAATCTACATGGAATATGGTGCTTATATTTTGTAAATTGAGGCTCGATTTCACCATTATCGCCTCTGATCATGATAATGTCTTAAGCGCGTGAAAGTCCCTTCTACATGAACCGTAATTAAAACAATTTCATCACTGAACAAATGATCGGCATTATATTGGCTATATAATCATTAGAATTATTGCCTTGGCTCTACAAAGCAAAAGAAATTCATTTCAATCTATGACTGGAAGTTTTACTAAACCTTCTGATGTTTCAAACAAACGAATAAAGTAAGTGCAGATTTCTCAATTCTAAACTGCAAGGTGAAATAGTGACACCTCTATTGCTTAAAAATCAGAAACTGTTTGAAATAGAAATCCAGCAATTCATACATAGCTCAAACCCCAAAAAAATTGCATGCAAAAATCTCTATAACTATAAAAGTGAAAAAAATACTATTAAAGTATAAAGTATACCTCTAGTAAGTATACTAGTATATAAAAGTATATACTCTCTATAAAAGTACTATAAAAGTATGCGTACTTACAAGACAGCGGGACAGTTTATCGCTGACGTGCGCGGGATGCGCGGCCTCCAGACTCAGTTCCTTGGCGCGCTCGCCCGTGGCTGAGAGCCTCGCGCTCAGCTCCTCCACGCGGTCACTCACTTCCATGCTGGCGCGCTTCTCTACTGCGGTCTCTCCTGCATTGTGTTGTTATAGTCAAAATATAATCAATAATTAATATAATATAATCAAACGCTAGTAAAGGCTTGTAAACCTATGCAAACCCTTGTAAACCTATGTAAACGCTTGTAAACCCTTGTAAACCCTTGTAAACTGCAGTCACACCTGCATTATATTTAAAAAAATACAATATACAAAATGCCAAAATATAGTTAATAATTGAAATCTACCATCAGTGTCAATACGCGTCAACGTAAACGGCTTAATTATATATGATTTATTAACAATCCACTTCCCTATGAAACAAGTCACATTGTTATCCTTTCATCAAACAGTGCGTAGACCATTTTGTCATATAATAATTTTGTATATCATGTTACAATATAGGTCTTTTCCTTCAAATTGTAATATGTTATACCGCTAACGACTTATCATATTCAAACATGAAGCTTTAGAAACAAGTTCTTAAACAAGTCATTGGTAATAACCTGCATGCAGAGACTTCGGCTTATCTTAAACTTATCATATTCAAATAAGAAGCTTAAGAAACAAGTTCCTAAACAAGTCATTGATAATAACCTGCATGCAGAGACTTGTCAGGCACGCTGGAGGCAGCGCGGGGTTGCACAGGAGACGACACGGACAGCGTGGCTTGAGTGAACGTCTCGAGCAGCAGTCCTTCAGCCTGCAACTCACGCAGCACCTCCTCGAACTTGCTCTGTGTAACGCAATGAAAATAATTTATATTTCAAAAATAAATAATTCAGAAAGAAACGAAATGTGTTACATGTATAAACTCAGAGCAGTGAAATTAGAAAAAAGAAAATAGAACGAGAGCTAATAGGATAGTAACATTAAACTCCTCAAACTCCATCCATCATCTGTGTCATACCATCAAAATAAAAAGTCAACATTGAGTCAACCAATAAGCGAGAAACATTTCAAAGTAAAGGGACATATTAATTGATAACCATAATTATTTACAATGAAGTTGTAATCAATTTTGAACTAAATTAAGATACAATAGTTTTGCAGTACCCAACAAAATGAGAATCTAAACCAAGCCTTGCAGTACCCTACAAATGAAATGGGAATCTTAACCAAGCCTTCCAATATAGCAAAGTTTGCATTGCACAGCAAAACAAACCTCAAGTAACTGCAGCTGCTGCGAGAGTCTATCAGCTGCCAGTTGGTTGCCCTCGCTTAGAAGCACTTGCACCTGATCTCTGAGCTGAGTCATACTCTCCCTGTCCGTCGCAACTTCCTTCTCAATCTGACAAAAAAATTATGTTTGTTACAAAATATCCATTATGAAAACATAAATTAGAAAAATTTTTTGAAATAGATGATGCTTCTCCCACACAAATTTGAAAAATGCACCTGTTTAAAACACTGTAATACTGGCAAAGCCATTGACCAGCCAAAGCCATTAACAAAATTAGGAATTATCAAGCGTCAAAATCATCCGTTTCAGAGCCGGACTTCCACAGCCGTCGCCAACCGTGTTCAAATGCTTATGAATAAAATCGCCAGGAAAGAACTACCAGTCCTTTTTAATGGTTAAGTATGTACAGTATTTGACCTGCGAAGCAATATCCCGCGCGTGTTCGTCAGTCTGTATGATTGCAGGCAGCTGCTGCAGAGACGATATGCGGTCCAGCAGCGTCAGGTATTGCTGTTCACTCTCCTGGGCGCGAGCGCTGGCCTTCTCCAGGCTCTGCTGGACGCTTTCACTCTGTCGGCAATGTTTAATATGAATTAATAAGCGAGTTACATCATCTCAAAGCCTCACCATGAATATTCATTGTCGGTAATTCATAGGTTTAAATATATTACGTTAATAGAACATCTTCAAATATATGCAATGAACATCTTTACCTGTTAGGTCGTATTGACGGGAATGTTCCTCTGAACAGCCAAGTTTAAGAAAAATCAAATAACAAAATACAATAAAAATACGAATCCGTTTGTCTTCGCACACCAATCAACCATCAAGAAAGAAATTAGAGGCAGATATTCTGGTCTCAAACTCATATTCAAGTGAAACAACAAGCAATCAATGATTTTTATTCCACCAATTGAATATCTCAAATCAAGATGGCACACGACACCTTCTCAATGAGGTCTTTGCGTCGCGTACGGACATCGTGCAGGGAGTTCTGCACAGCGACGGTCATGAGCTGCCGCTGCACCAGCGATTCTGCAACCTCTTCCAGCTGAGAGCGACCAGAGCCTTCGTCGCGCTCTCGCAGGAAGCTCTCAAGCTCCTGATACATAAAAAAAGGAACACGGACAGCCATTAGTAACTGAGAAATTATACGTCTAAAACGTCCACCGATTCTCGTATTTACCAGTTCAATGAAGAGTTAGGAGTGCAAAAGAAAAAAGTTAGTGAATAGAGTTAGTAAAAGAGTGCACCAAGTTTCCTTTTATATAAGGCAAAATTAAAGTAATAATTATTTGGCTGACAAGGGACGAAGTAAAAAGACGAAGACAAGACATTCAATAACAATACAAGACATTCAAGGAAACTCACGTCTTGCTTCGCACTGATTTCTTCAGCATCGACAGCTGGTCGAGACCACAGCTGCAGCTTCTGTTCAAGCTCCAGTAGCCAAGAGTTCTCAGCAGCGGTGAGATCCTTGAATAAATTGTAATCCCGCAGAGCTGTCTCTAGAAGAGTCAACCTCTCATCCAAACTCTGTTTCAGCTCAACGTGTTGCTTGTTAACATTTGCTCGACGTTCTTCATCAGTAAGCTTGTCATCCACAAATGCTTTTTTCATCTGCAACTCTTGCAGAAGCTCAAGACATCCCCTGATAGCTGACTGCAGGTCACCAGAGGTCTCAATACCCAGTGCTGATGGTATTTTGGCGTCGTTGATCCAATCATTCCATTCACTTTGGATTTTCTCCTCTTCTTTGCATTTGACAGCCTCGATAAGTTTATCATTGAGTTGCCGGGTTTTTGACACGATGCACTCCCATTCCGATCGAAGAGTATGGGCAGTGGCGCGAGCCTCTTCGCGGAGTGCAGCACTAACATCACTGATTTCCGTCACAGTAGCAGGAGGTGTCCCTTCCTCGAGTTTGGCACACGTTTGTTCAACTCTAAGCATATTGGTTGACAGTGTAGCGATATCATCTTCCAATGCATTCGACTGCAATAGCTGAGCTTTTAGGGTCTCCAGGTCAGCTCGGCCCAATACCTGGTCTTCTTCAGCTTTTAGGAAGACTTGCACTTCAGCCAGCCATGACTGAAGTCCTTTCACTTCAGCCTTATGCTGTTCAAGAGCTTCGATACCTTCAGTCAATACAGCCAGCCGGCGCTCTAGCAACAACCTGACAGCGGCACACTTATCAGCAGCACCTGAAACTGTTGACATCACCTCAGCCATGTTGTTCGTCACTTCAGTCACCACAGTTGTAGATTTCGAGTCTGGAGATTCAGCCAAAGAAGTCGCTGTCATTTTTCCCGACAACTCCCGTTGGTGCTCTATAAGTCGATCAGCTTCAGCTATGACCCGCTTCAAATAGTTACGGAGCGTACTCACATGAGTAACCATCTTAGGCAAGACGTCCAACATTGGTGAACACGAGATTTCAAGTTCTACTCGACTCAACCACAGCTCTAAGCTCTCGATGCCTTCAACATGCACCTCTAATACTTCTTGCACGACAGTCTCAATTTTTTCTACCACCTTGCGGCCACTCGTTCCGTCCCTGGCAACCACTTCAACTGTCCTCACTTCTTCTATCACGGATTCTGGATCAACTGCACGAAACGATGAGTCGGACAACGATTTTTGAAGCTCTTTCAACCTGAAAGAGAAACCTAAAATTTACCTCTGGAACGGAGAGAATTTGAAGACCACATCGACTAGTGTAGGGATTAGAAATTACGAAACAAGCATATAAATAATTGTTATCAGTAGCGGTTGTTAAGTTGAATTCCTCACTTGATACTGAACCCTTCACGTAACAATGATTTATTATTCCACCGCTAAAATGAATCACAAGAATTCAATACCAAGTGTATTGTAGAAATATATAAAAACTATCCGCACAAATATCAAAACAATTCACCTTGTGTCGAGAGTGAGCCAGCTGTGGAGGAGAGCAGCAACGTCAGAGCGTAATGACGACCCGGTGTCAGCAGGTAGACGCTCCTGAGCTACACGAGCCAGCAACTGCAGCGACTCCAGCCCGTCCTCAACACTGCTTTCCAAACTCTACCAACCAATAAAAAACGCATATCAAGCTACCCTTTAAATGCTCTTTGATTGGTGAGTAAATCATCATTGATCCGGCAAATCGAATTTCTAAAGATTAGAATTCACCGAAATTTTACAGATTCGAATTTAAAAAAAAAACAATAATCATGCTTTCCTCTAAATACTATTTGAATGGTGAGTAAATCATCATCATTCCAGCAAATCGAATTCGTAAAGATTCGTATTCACCGAATTGTTAAAGATTCGAATTCAACAAAAAAAACACTAATCTTGCTTTCCTCTAAATACCTATTATTTGATTGGTGAGTAAATCATCATTAATCCGGCAAATCGAATTCCTAAAGAATTTCAACGAACAAAGAATGACACCTTGGCATATTGAAGATAACGTAAGTGTGTACGAGATAGTTTACATACGTCCAAGGTTTATACATCGAGATTCTTGCGCACTCTTAGCTCATACTCTTAGTATTCTGACCATAATCTCGGAGCGTATATCCTCTTCACCACCAGGCCGTTTGAGGGCCTCGGCAGCATCCTGAAGCCAATCCAGGGTCTCCGAATACTGGCTGTGCAGCAGCGAGAATCTGTCAGCTATTTGCCCCTCGGTGCTGGGCACGCTCACCGACCTGAAATGTTCACCCCAGACCTTAGGAACAAATTCTTGATTCCAAGGATCGAAACTTTCAATTATTAAGAACACTTGCAAGAACAACTAGTAAAGAGCGCGAAAAAAGGCGAAACAATATACCTAAGAGAATCAAGTACCGTAAAACGGGGTGACTCGGACTTTTTTGGAGCTTAACTTTTTGTTATATATAGTAAATATATAAAACATATCTCTTTATTGCATTTATAGGTTATCTCATGATACTTCAAGCGCCATCAACACAATTTTTCTAAGGCAACAACTTTTAGAGTTAGGGTTTTTTTTCCTAAATGACAAGACGGTCCACAAGTCACCCCGTATACGTAATATAATTATGAAATATGAACCGTATTCTGCGCAGCATGTTCTGCACGGCGAGCCACTGAGCCACCAGCTGCTGTTGTTCTCTGCTGCGGTCACCAGCTTCACCCCTGACTCGGCGATAAGACTTTTCCAGTCCAGACAACTGTTGAGACGGTAAAATACCAGACATAAGCTCTAGTTTATTCCTCACTGCATTCTTCAACAATCAGTTCAGTATCTGACCTCAACTTTTTTCAGATAAAGATAAAAATTATTACCGTTACCCGTCTTCAAAATTCTTTAGAAATAAGTACTTTAACTTATTTATCATGAAGCCTGACGAGGAGCTTTACTTTACCAGTTCTCTAGGATCAAATGAGCACCACTTTGCAAACATGAAAAAATACGGTATATGATCATCTTGAACTCAAAAAAGTCAGTGAGTCTCACTTCTCGGATGACACTTCGCTGAAGATCTTCGCGCTGCTCGTCGTTCTTGTTGAGGGTAGAAGATGGCTGGAGTTTCTCCTCAATTTTCTCTAGGCACCGAATTACTGCAGATACATCTGAAGGCTCAGATGATCCAGACCGAGGTTCCGCTTCAATCTTGTCTGTTTCTGAATTATATTGATCATCTTCCACCTCATGAAGGGATACTATTTCCATGGGCAGAGGGCTGTCTACACTTGATCCGCACGAAGGAGAGTCTACTCTCACCGTTCCTGGTTCCAACTTGGGCCGTTTACTGTGACCTCCGGTGTCCAGAGATTCCTGTGATCAAATGCAATTTTCATGAGTAAATTGTAAATTTAAGTGTGATCTGCGAATGAAGTAAAATATTAATTTTTCCTTGTGATTGACATAGTTTTGATGCATGAAAGATGATAAAAGGATGCTGTGAAAAGAGAAGCAACCTTTACAGACGAGACATTTTCTGATTACTGTGCAAGATATTTAGCAAAAATGGCACCGGTGGCACTTATTTAGCATCATGATAGGAACTGTAAAAGAAATTGGACAATGAAAGTGTTTGCCATTTGCACCGACAACGCCACCATCCACAGAAGTGACAGAACAAATGATGGGATGAATTAAAACTAAAAAACTCTATTTAATCCTATGCCCTCCACTGAAATTTATTTTCGGAGAGCACTCATCTCAAACCTCTGCATCAGTCAGCCAGCCAGGCACCTCATAGTAATATATACTTGAAATGTGGCCGTAACAATACTCAGAAAACTACAACATTTTCAGTTGAACTGAAAGATACACTGTCTTTTGCATGCGGCGACCACGGTTCAATTCCCACTCAAGACAAATTATTTCGTGAAGCTCAGTACTTCATCATATTCAGTTGGAATGTTTGATGAAAGAGAACCTAACTTGTCCCAGGTGTTGTTGAAAAAATAAAAATGGTTCAGGCGGATGAGCGAGCACTACCTAAACTGGCCTTAGTGTCCTAAAAAACTGACCTATCACCCGTCCCACCACCCAAGCTGCACCACCACGATAGTGAACACACGCCAAATTTTTTTCATCCTCCTCCACCCTTCCAGCCTACACATGCTGCTCGAAATTGTACTCTATCGAAGATTGTTCCATCAGACAAAAACACAATCACTGCAATTCATTTCTCATCACACGCAATTAGTACTCATTTCTTCAGAATGATCCTAATTATTATATTTCTTTCACTCTCATATGCCTCGCATTCCATCATCAGGTTCACCAGTTTTCGTCCCACCATCATATCGCAAATAACACATCTTGTCTTGTTTCATCCTATTTTATGTACGTTCGTTCATACTCAGCACCACCGCTTTCTCACCTAGCAGAGGGTCCTCACCTCTGCAAACTTCAGATAAATAGAATAAATAATGCTCCTTTAATGCAGCCCGATATTGCCAAAATATTTCACTTTTAATACTGTAGTCAAATTAACAAGAAATGGCAGATTAAATGCAAAGGAATAAAATTTTGTATAATCTCATTCCTTTTTTATTAGTCCTCATCATAAAATTTGCAATATGTTCAAGTATCCACAATCACTAACGATATCTCTATTCGTTTATGAAAAAATATGATCACAAGAAACCAGACATTGACAGAAATAGAATAAAACAAAAAATAGAGTTTTATAAAACACACGATTTATAAAAAGTTCATCATCTGGATTACTATATACATATACACCATATAAATATGTATATGAGCGTAAAATTTGTAGAATGAGGTTCTATCAATAATTGCCATGTAAGGTGCATACGAACAACATATGCATGCATCAAGCACAACAATTAATTATAGATATACTAGCACTTCAGTTATCTATAGTGACCTGAGATGAGACGCTTTTGGTAGTGATGACCCTGGTGATGATGGTAGAGCCGTGAGCAGTCTTGGCAGTAGTTGTGGTGACATCACCACTCACTTCACCAGAGTCTGAGGTGCTGCTTCTCTTGCCGCCTACCAGCACCACGGTGCTGATGTCGATGCCACACTTCGCCAACTGACATCAAGAAAATCATAATTAACTGGCGTCATGTCGAACTCAATAATTCAAGAGAATTTCTCGCATTTTATTTAAAACTTCTTAGAGGGTAATAGACTAATAGACAAAACTTCCAATTTAGCAGAAAGATATAAATAAATTGTTACCTTCCGCATTCGAAATATGTTTACCTATGACTAATTGCATTTAAATCCAATTCAAATGTACAGAATTTGTGATACTTGATAGAGATTACTTTTAGCATGTGCATTTCAACACTACCGTAGTTCAAGACTCAAGAGCAAGTACAAGAGAACTTCTCTAATGTAAAATCGAGAAAAAAGGTCAACCCATTTTCTCAGTGCATGAATTTTTATGAAAAATGCGGTTCGAGGTTTTAAAGCAGCATTCATAAGCTGCAATTACAAGTCTCCCTGTCGGAGACAACTCGACTGATTTGGAATACAATAAAACATAAAAGATTATTACACGGGGCCGGTATCGAGAGTTCCAATGCCGAGACAACCCGTTTACCAGGGTGACCGCTTCATTATTTATCTGAATATAATTGTCATAAAGTTTAACATAGTTTTCTACGCTCCAATGATGACGAGCAAGCAGTCTCATTTCTACCAAATTATTATGTTTTCTGCGCTTTAATGATTGAATGAAGGCAGTTTCGTCTTTCCGGAATTTACCCTTTGTTTTTCGCACCATTATGATAGAAAGAAGGAAGCAAATTAGGGCTGAGCTTACCCTTGTTTCCCGCACCATTATGATAGATGAGAGCAAGTATAAACATCAGTGCTGAATTTACCCTTGTATTCCGTGCCATTATGATAGAAAGAAAGAAGCAAATTAGGGCTGAGTTTACCTTTGTTTCCCGCACCATAATGATAGATGAGAGTAATTATACACATCAGTGCCGAGTTTACCCTTGTATTCCGCGCCATATTGGTAGAAAGAAGCAAATTTGGGCTAAGCTTACCCTTGTTTCCCGCAAAATAATGATAGATGAGAGCAAGTATAAACATCAGTGCTGAGTTTACCCTTGTTTTCTGCGTCTCAATGATGGAGAGAAGGAAGCAAATTAAGGCTGAGTTTACCCTTGTTTCCCGCACCATAATGATACGGTATATGAAAATAAGTATACACATCAGTGCTGAGTTTACCCTTGTTTTCTGCGTCTCAATGATGGAGAGAAGGAAGCAAATTAAGGCTGAGTTTACCCTTGTTTCCCGCACCATAATGATACGGTATATGAAAATAAGTATACACATCAGTGCTGAGTTTACCCTTGTTTTCTGCGCCTCAATGATGGAGAGAAGGCAGTCCCATCGGTCCTGGATGTTCTCAAGGGTGCGCGGCAACTCAGTATGAGCAGCGCTGTGCAGAGGAACGCCTGAGAGCACGACGCTGCACTGATCGTGGAGACCTGACAGCTGCTCGTGACGAACCTCCAGCTCGCACTGCAGCTCCTGCTCCCACAAACACACACAATGTAAAATCAAACAAAAATAAGAATAACCGACAAAAGTAAAACATTAAATGCGTTTTCGAATAAAAACAAACGTGCATTTTGGTAGCTATGAGATTAGAGGGCAAATATACTGAAGACATTTATCCTGTATTTTCACTGTCATTAACAACAGAGCCATGCTTTTTCGTTCTAAGTCTGCCAACAGCCCCCGTATTTAACACCCATTTATTGCAAGAAAACCAGAATAATTGAGTGGAGTTCAGACATGGACCTGCAGCATGGAAGCCTGGGAGAGAATATGCTGCTGGTTTGTGGAAGGATTGCTCTCAATATGTCGCAACTGCGCTTCCTTGCCGTCCAGCCAGAGCGTGAGCTGCCTCACGCCCTCCTCCAGCTGCCCCCAGTGAAGTGCTAAGGCCTGCAGCGTCGCCCACTGCTGCTCAGACCACTTGCACACGTGGCCCCACCGCTCACCTGATAATCAGTTCCTAATTAATCTCAAAATATTAGGCACAGTATTTGTGTACTCACACAGTAAAAAAGCACTGCGACATACCGTACCTATCTCATTGAGGTCACAACATGAGCCGTTGAATAGAATAAAATTCCATCCAAAAGGAATATATATTGTTAAGTTTTAAAATAAATTTATAGGAATGAATGATTAAAGACATTATAAAAAGTAAAGGGAGCAGGAACAGAGAAGTTGCTTGAAATTCTGTGGGAAAACAACTATTAAAACCAGCAGTATGCGAAATCAATACCATGCAAACAAAGAATTTCCCATAAACTCAAACTTACGGTATCTATCCCTGCCCTAAGTTAAGCGACATTAGAATATCAATAATTACGCATTTCGAGATAATATTTCAAGCAGGCACATTAATAACTAACCTAAAGCCGTTAGTTCGTCTTCGAGCTGAGCATAAGCAGCATCTGAAGCAGGATCATCGACGACGACCACCATGTTACTGAGTGAGCTGACCGTGCTCTGTTCGTTCTCCAGGTCTCGCTGCAGCTGTCGGTGCTGCTCCAGCTGTTGCTTCACCTCCATCAGGCTGCTGCCCACGGGACTCATGGCAGCTATGCGCTCCTCAGTGGAGCTTAGCCAACTCTTCAGGGACATGAGCTCCTCCTGCTGGTGCTTCATCAACTTCACGTGCAGCCTGGAGGAGCCTCTTTTAAGTTAAAACGTGCCTCTTTTTAAGTTAAAATGTGCCTCTTTTTAAGTTAAAACCGTGCCTCTTTTTAAGTTAAAATGTGCATGTCGGAAGATAGAGGCAGTGCTAATTCTTCGTGGAAAATCAACATGTTGATAAGCTCATCCCGTCACAGGCCTAGTGAGCATTACTGAATAAAGAATAGTATACGGCCAATGCATGATTATTAAATTATTATCATCATTTGAAATACACCGTAACTCTACTACGGGAATCACACACAAGAGATAATTAAGAAGAACTCACTTTGACTGCCTATCCATTGCTTTGACTCTAAGGCCCTCCCAGCGAGCGTTAAGGAGCCTCATCTGCTGCTTGATTTCTTCTCCCTCTTCTCCTTGAGCAAGACCTTCCTTCACCAGACGACTGCCTTCCTTCAGCACCTCGCCCACGCCGCTCTGACGTCCCGTCAGCTCCAGCATTACAGCCTGGCATGTACAAACACCATTAATGTTGGAGGTAATAACGCCCTTGAAAATTACTGTATAGGTCATGATTAAAAAAAGGAAAAAATAAGAAGAAACAAGTAAACACGAGAAGGAAAAAATAAAAAGGAACAAACAAACAACGAAAAACTGGAGCTATGGATAAAATCTGTTAGTATCAATATTCCATGAGCACGACTCAATCAAGTCGGTATTTACATCCAGTAGTAGTATAACAAAAGAAACCCCAACTTTTCTGACGAAATACCTCTAAATCGTGAAACTGCTCCTTCAATACAAGCGTGGTGTCTCCGATCTCGGGCATTGCATCCATGCGTTCCTCGGCCCCCAGCAGCCAGACGAGTACCTCCTCCAAGCAACGCAGGTATGCGGCAAGGCAAGTGGATACCAACGACGCAGGGCGCTCCATGCCACTGCTCTTACTGGGTGACCGCATGGTGGTCTTAAGATTGTTTCCTTCACCTCCTCCTTGAGTTTCAGTCTATGGTAACAAAGAAGGTCTTCAAATCAAATCAATTGATAACAATTAGGAGGTCAAGAACAGAGCAGATAATATGCAACACAGGAATTACCGATTACTAACAATATTGCAGAGCATACAAGTGTTAACTACCAGACCATCGAACAAAAGTTGAAGATAAAAACCGTCAATGATTTTTATATTCATTCCTCGGTTAATGACTGAGACACAACATCATCAATTTTGAACAGCACGGTATTAGAACAGACAAGAGATGAATCAGGTGAAGTTTCCTCGAGGTGTTGGAGTGAGACTCGGTCAGGTGGCAGGGCTTGGAAGAGGCACATCACGTACATCATCACAGACTTCTTGTCAGGAACCTGAGTGTGCACGTCTGCAAAAACAATCATTATAGTAAAATTATATCATCAACTATAATACTACTTAAAGAAGTTAAAATAGTTTCAAAAGGCACAAATGATTAAAATTATGCAATTTTTTCTCAAACAGGTTCATTGATGCAAGTAGAAATGACTAAAACAGTTAACATCAACCAAGAGACCTTCATCAAACATTGAGCATTCTAGCTTTTACTTATCAGTCAACAGGGGTAAAAATTTTCATGTAATAAAACAAAATGCGCACGTCGTTATTAATATTGAATTAACATGGAAATAAAATTCATCAGTAGTAAATAATAATGCACATACATGTTAATCACTTATGAAGTTGCATAATGTAATTTCCACACTAGGTATATCTAGGTATAATAATAGGATAAACATCTTTCATCTATGATGACTGCACACATTAAATCCTCAGAAACAAGCAGAGATTAGTCCATATTAAATTGTACAAATGTATTATAACGACTCTGTGAGAATACGTATTTGATCTACATCAACCACCAAAATAACAACTACAGGAGCTAATAAAACTTCCTTACATTGGTATGGCAAGAAATTTTGAGAATAGGACACTCATTTTTAGTCATGTAATTGTCCCAGGTGTAATAATAATGCATAAAGATATTTCTGGTCAGTATTTCCAACAAATTTGAGTAAAGTATCATGCACTTACAGATATTAAATCTCCATAACAACAACAAAAAAACGGTTTCCTTAAACTTTTAGCAAAAACACTTGATATCTAATCCTCTAAATAGATAATGATTTGTCTGATTGGAACGAGATTTTTTTGCAGGGTACTCTATGTACGAAAACAGAAACTTGATCAGAAACGAGGCAACATTTCAAAGAAGAATATAGGTATAGAGTTTTATAGACGGACCTTCAGGATCAAGTAGCTTATTGATGCCCAAATGTTCATGGGCAAGATTGAAGGCGTGTTGGAGGCGAGCAAAAGGCACTTTGTTAGCCAGTGAAGCCCACTCAAAAAGCTCCGGGCGGTGCTTATGCAGCAGAGCATTGAAGGCAAGTCCATCACTCCAGCTGCTGCTGAAATTTCGTACGTCCACGCCAGCATAGCCCTGCATTTGAAATAATTATGTTGAAAAACTGTAGGGTAAGTAACTACTATACGTATATATGGATGAAAAATAACAAATAAAATAACTTGATGATGCAAAAAACATCAAAAATACAGCACTTACTGAATCATAAAACCATGTAAACAAATATTAACCCACTCATTAACACAAGAACTTTACAGTGTGATGTAATTTGGAAGCACATACAAAATTATTATTTTAATCTCATTACAAGTATAAATGCTTTGGATAACTGCATCTGAGTAACTACAAACATTTTATGCCAAGTCTAGCAATGACAACGGAAAACAAAACATACATAAATATTGAGTTTACCTACAATAATGACTCTTTTACCTTAGTTGTTTGACGGCACCATGCAAGCAAAGTTTTCTCCAGACTTGTTTGCTGAAAGCCAGCCATGACCTCTTTCAATACTCCTTGTACCTGCAACAACATACAAATAATTTAGATTATTTTATAATATAAATAAAAAATTTTTATATTGTTATTTTTTTTAAAGGTTAATTATGATTAAGATTATATTAGCTGAAATAATTCAACTTGCCTGCCAATGCAAGATAATGGTCCACACAAGAGCAAGTGTGATTTTTGGAGATCCATCAACAATGTAGTCAGCTGAGATGTTGACAAGCTTCACATTATAGGAAGCCAGCACATCAAGGGCTCGTCTCACATTGCTTAAGCGGTGGACACGCATGCCTCCTTTTTCTCTAGCCTGAAAATTCAATTGTACAATAATTATTGCTTGGATCTAAACCTTGGAAAGTTTAGGTAAGACCATTTTTAAAATTATGTATTCAAAATAACAATCGAGTTTATTAATGGGTGCAAGTCTTTCTCAATATACTACCATAGATCTACATATAAATAGGAACTGAAAAGTCAAATATCAGGTTTCCAAGGGACATTTAAATGTACCTTGGAAACCTGATATTTGACTTTTCAGTTCCTATCAAGAGCCTAATTTGCCGAATAGAGAAAAACAATAAGAAAATTGTCAATAAGAAATACTCTCTGGTCTTCAATGAAACCTGCATTAAAGAAAATCTTCTGCCAAACTACACCAATATAAATAGGAATAGATGATTCAGTTCAAGCTTCATATAATTTTATACTGAACAATAATAGATCAATATTGAGCAAATAAGAATGCATTTAACAGTGAATTTATAACTTGAGCTTTAAAAAAAAGCTCAATCCAATATGACTACATCCATATAAATCAATAATAAAAATTTTAAGTAATACACCAATTAATAGGTTGCAAAATCTTACTTCTAAAAATTCATTCCAAATTGATTTGAAATTTTAAATATGTACCTACATCAAGTCATCAAGTGTAGGCAGCTTTTACTGCTCCTAATCGTCCTAAGAACGTTCTGTAGACAAACATAACATGCACTACACTTACATGCTTTGTATCTGTAAGAATCTCAAGAAGAAGCAGAAGTTTGGTGCCATCTCTGAGATCATAGAAGAGATCAGTTACAGTTGATTCATTTCTCTTGCTCAGGTGACTGTTGATCCATTTAGTAAATGTCTTCTTCTGGACATCTTCCCTTTCATCTGCCAAATAAATTTAGAATGTAAATAAACTATACTAGTATATACTATACCGTACCATACAAATATAATTGGTTAGCCTTACAGTTATTTTCACAACAGCTCAGCCATTAGCACAAACTTTAGAGTCAGACTGAAATGCCAGGTCACATTATCCAGAAAACCATGAGACTGAGCAGTCAGCAGCTAGGTAAATGCTTTGTGGTAGTTCTTGGGCCAAATGTGATAGATAAAACTCTTACTGTTTCAATTGAGTAAGAAAAAAATTCAAGAACTACAGATGAAATACACACAACATACAAATCAACAGGAAAAAGCAGTTCTTCTCTGTGGATCATGGGTGGCGGGTGCCCATGCTTGATTTTCCAGTCGCAAGTTTCTGATAGATGTGAATGATTGAAATAGTAAAGCTGCTGGCATCCTAGTTAAATTTGAATATTAAATCAATCATATGGTTTGATTAAAATTTAGATAGGGTACATTTTGAATTTGTCTAGAAAAATTGTGTGGTTGGGCCTAGCAATTTCATTCATTCCATAATGAATGAACAGCTACAGTTTTGGACAGTGCTTTTCAGATAGTGAATACCTATTTTCCACAGCTGACAATGCTGTTCATATGAAATTTCCTCTGTTTTTTATAGGATTAAAAAATATGACAGTTATCATTTACAGTTAAAGAAGATGTACAAAATCGAATGATTTGCAACAAAATATAAAGCAAATTGATTGAGGGCCAGGGCCGGCCAACCAAACCTGCAATTTGAAAGTTCGAAGTAACTTAGTCCTTAATTTTAAATTAAATTATTTTGCTAAACTTTGTTTTATTGCGTAGATCGGCCACTCTAATGTTATTAGTACCGGTAACAATGCTCGAACAATTTATATTGAAAATTCTTCCAGGCACACAAGAATTGCAGCGATATCACACCAAAACTAATATCTGTAACGAAAATATTGATATTATAGCAAAATTATACCATAGGGCATTTAAAATCAGCAACAACTGTTACACGACAGTAAAAACGACGCAACAACGGAACCAGGGCTACAGGTTGTTGCGGTACACAGTTGACGGCCGAACTCCCACCTATCTTCTGCGTTCACGCAAGAACGTTGCGTAAACAATCGAATAAAATTATTCTAAATATAGATAAAATAAAATATTGTATAAACAGAAGGGAATAAAAAATTTGTGTATAGTTTGAAACCGTTTCACCGCAAAAATATAGGATAGGGCCGATAGGCAATACAACTCCTTCCGTAGTTTAGAATGCTTCGGCACTCAACACTGCACCCAAAGCTCGCTAGCTGTCATCCTGTTGCTACCGCAATATAAATATTATTTCCTCATTATTAATTCAAATAATCAAGCCGAACCTTTGAATATTCCTTCCATGCTCAATGGAACTGCATAGTTACTTAAAAAGACAATTCACACACAGAGCAGCAGCACGAGAACGACGCACGACCTCCCTTAACAGAACATTTGAACACACTGACTTTTTAAGGAGTGATGAAGTCAACTTGGACTAGACGACCTAAACTCCTGAACTTATGGACAGAGAAAAACACCCTGCACTGTTTATCATAAAAACACGAAAATAACACTTTTCTAAGATTCAATTTCAAATTAAATTAAGACTGAATAAAATAAAACAAATGCAAAATTTTATACGAATCATACTCATAACAAACGATCATTCTGCAATATGCTTTATTGCTTTAGTTGAAGCGGTTCATGTATTGATGAACGCATTTAGGAGTGCCGAGTATAGCCAGCACCAATTGGTTGACGGAGATGATGTTAGAAAAACTCCGTCCAATTTATGAGATCATTCTCCCTTTAGCAACTATCACTTTCCGTTCACAGACCAAATCCTTTACGAGACAATGATAGCCTTAGCTGCTGTATGCAGCTATAACCTTAACTGCTGGGTATAAGAACTGCTGTATACCCAAAACTGCACACTAGTGTTCCGCAACTATTTCCTTTCACAAGTTACAAATTACAATTAAGTACGTTAAATAAAAACAACCGGACGTATATTGATCAACAAGTTCAAGTACTAATAAAGATTCAAGATTGTGTAGTAAAGTAAACTCGTGTGGGCGTGAAAATAGTTGCAGTAATTTTTTGCAAGCGTTTTCCGTGTTTGCAAAACCTTGATTGAGCATGATGTTCCGATCATCTATCGTGATTTCGTTGTTGCCACCAGGAACATACCAAGATGTGGGTGATCGTAAGAGGCAAGTGCTTAAAAGTTTAGAGCACCTAAATTAAAGCCTATCGTTGCTGGTTCGATCCCAGGTAGCTCAAAGAAAATCTTGTTGCAATCGGTTTAGGAGACATGATAAAGCAGAACAGCAAGAGCGGTTTGGAGTGAGTCGCGGGTTCAAACTTTTCGGCAGGCGGCAAAAATTCTGCAATATGCAGGATCGGCGTAAGGCCCAATTTTTCGAAACACTATTACTGAAATGCCCGCTCACAATTCCTAAACAGTAAGAATAATTGCTATTCACAACAATTTAATTGATCTCTTTTGCCCATTACAGGAATAATTAGTTTCACTGAGAAAATATAGCCGGAGACAGCACAAGATGAAAATGATTAGTAGCTCGATGCATTATCATCTCGATACATAATCGCACAACCGTTGTACCACAGTCCACAGTAAAATGATTAGTTAAGAAGTGAATATATTAAAGAAAAGAAAATGAGAGATCCTTGTGCCAGAAAAAAGTTCTGTTCGTGCGTCCATCGCAAAAAAAATACATACAGCATAAATAGTTACAGCAGTATAGCAGGATAACTGAAATGGATAAATTCATAAAATGCTGTACTTCAAAATATAGTGCATCCTGTATTTAAATAAACTCACTTTTCAGTTTTCTTCTGATAAGCGTAGTGCACCTAGTAGATGAGCTGTAATGCTCCTCCATGACCACCCTGCTGTTCAATATTATCTCGCCCAACGCAGGGGCAGAGAGAACAGACCGTGACACGGCTTTTGACGTATCAACGTAACATGGCAGTTCATCGTTTCCCTCTTTCCTGCCAACCTCACCAATTTCTATAACAGCTTCAGTCCTCATCAAGGTAGGAACTTCCATGCTTTTTGTCTAATAGCGACTCATCATTCACTTTCGTCTAGTTTCATAAGAAGGCATCGTGATATATATACGTATATATATACGTATTAAGCGCTCGGTTTTAATAGCCAAACATCTTCGTGTAACTAGTTTTTTTTGTTAGAATTTTCTGAACAAGTTAGAGATAATTGTGTTTAAATCCAAAGAGAAGTACTTCTCATACAATGCTACACCAGGAAATTGTTTTAAATTGCGACGGCTTATCGAAACTATCCCCATTTTTCCAACGGCAGACGTTTTTATGTTAATTCTGACAACATAAAAAATATATAAACAGATTGTCGCGCTGATAACGAATTTCTCTAAACAATACTGAATCATCTCAAATAGCTTCAACGAATCTACGAGTTGGGCCAGCGTAACCTTCAGCCTACGATATACGTTGAGCCAACAATATAGTTTTTTAATAATTTGCAAAACCGGCAAATTCCTGCGACAAACATGCTAAATAAACGCTAGGGGCGAGGTTTGTGAAGAATTTCCGTTTACTGAAGAGGTTCATTTCAATCAGCCTCACTGTTAGGCGGCCTCCTAAGCGGCCAGATTCAAGAAAAACAGAGCGTCTCTGTCAGCGAATGCGTAGTTAAACCACAGATGTCAATGTAAAGAGCATTATAACTATCACATAATTTCAAGCATTCCACAGTAAGAGAACGTGATGCATCTCTATTCGGCGTGCTGCATGACATGATGACAGACCAAAGCATTTCAGATGAGACTCAAAATTAGGCCAGAAATATTCAGATTTAATTTGAGAACTAATTAGGTAAATAAATCTTTCCCCGTATTAATTTTGGTGATAGTGCCGTATTTATTATATTGGTGAAATGATTTTTGAGTAAAGAAATGTTGATATAGTACCTAGTGGGTACTGGATAGTTCCACCTCAGCAGAGAAGATGCTCAAACTATCATTTGAGATCTGTGAATTTCATCGCCAGTAATTGTGAAAGAATGCTGAAAATTGGAAGAAATCGCAGTCACTACGCACAAAACTAAGAAACCGACGTTAAAGGTAGTCAGAAGTCAGTAATTCCACGGGCAAGTTAGTCACCGTTTGTGAAAGTAACATTATACTTAGTGAAGTTCCAGGGCCCCAGGGGACACGGAGGAGACCATACCTTTGCACAAAGTTTCATAGTCATAATCCGAGACAATAATAAAAAAAATTAACCGGAATTCGAATTTTTTTTTTCGAAGTTTTTCGTCCACCTCCACAGAATAACACACGATCCAAATGAATACACTCTTTAGAAATATTATGCAAATTCACAATTTTTCATCATTTCCTCAGGTTAAAGCAAGAGAATACCTATCGATGATAACGATAAAATTTTCATATATATATATTATAACACGAACAGCGAACATCCAAGTTCCAACCACTGCCTATAACATGTTTCACATTTGGGCAGGATGAGCAGCACTAGGCAGCAGGTCGGCCTGGGTACGATCGCCAGACAACTGAGACTGAGAGCATCTGTCTGCATCTCTGTTGCCACACAGTATTTGCTAGCCGTACAGCTGCACATAGTCGCTTCTCTTGTTTCCTAAACTATGGCGATGTGGCCGCAATCTGTGAGAATAACTTGTAATGCACGCTCACGACTTCATGCAAGTGAAAATATATTCCGCTCATCACGGAAGTAAATGTTTTATTTAATTATGGAATTGTGTGTGTTTGTAGCCTGCAACGAGAAGATATAATGGCTGTTTCTGTACATATCCACGGTACTCATCGTTTCGTGATATTACCACATGAATTAAATTTTATTTTTAATGGTGGGACCCTGTGCAATCGAAAAAAAATAATGAGCAAGGAGTTAGATTTAAGAGTTTGCATGTGACTCCGGCTCCAGGAGGTTTGGATTATATTCAATAAGAAGTTCAATGTTCCTTTAAATTTCAAAACGGTATCCAATTAAACGGGAGTACATTTCGGACACTTTTAAGACCGGACTTACGGCCAATCTCCAAGTTTCAGTAATTCAGCTAATGCAACGTGATGAAGCTTTGCAAACGTGTTCAATACTATCAATAGGACCTAACGGTGATGTTATGGTCGTGATTATTTTTTTCACTTTTGCCTTAGTTTTCGTGTTCTACGGTATTACGGATTGTAGTTCACAGTGAGCCTAATATATTTTGTTTACTACAACACAAATGCGAACGATGCTTTCTATATACATTTCTAACCAACTAACAGTGATGTTTAGGTCATGAACATTCTACTGATTCCGCTTTCGTTCGTGAGTTATATATAAAATATACAGCTATAGTATACTATGGTATAGTATGCGTATACGTACAGGGAAACAACTGTAGGTATCTCGGTGGCCGATTGTCCAATTCGCAGTGAGCCTAAAATAGTTACCAAATTAATTAACGTAGCTCGATGAAACTTTGCACATCCAATTATATATAACCCTGTAACGGTGATGTTTTAGTCGTTGATATTTTGCTTTATTTTGCCTTCGTTTCTGAGACTAAAATGCCTAAAATTTCTTCTATCCTACATTACAGATTTGAACAAAACTTACGGTTAACTTGGAAACGAAGGCAAAATGGAAATAAATGATCACGCTCTCAACATCAACGTTATGGCCTAATAATTTCAGGTGTAAAATTTCATATTTCATATAATATTCAAAATTTCGGTCAAATCAGTCCAGTAGGATACAAGATATATTAGGCTCACTACGAATTTGGGCCCGTATTGCCGTATAACCGGCAAACCAAGTCGAAAAAAATGGTCACGATCTAAACATCACCGTTAGGTTCTATTGAAAACGCATGCAAAGTTTCATGGAGCTGCGTTCACTAGTTAGAAAAATATTTTAGGTTCATTGAACCTTGGAGACCGGCCACAAGTCCGATCGTAATAAAAGGGTCCAAGAGGTTTAGTCTAAGAGGTTTTCAATCTGGAGAAAAATTATATTTAGATTCTATCATATAACATTATCATCATCGGCAACAGGCCATGGGGTTATTTCTTCATTGCCGACGCTTCTATCAATGCAATTCTACAACTAGCTAGAAAGTTATCGCCCGAAAAGCTCAAGTGTCTATAACTAGGGTGCCACTAGACTAGATGTGACTTCAAGGAGTAAATATAATTGTATGCTAATTTGGGAACACCGTGATTCAGTGATAGGTTTCGTAGAATAATATGCTCGTCACGTGCAGGGCTCGCTCATTGTCAAGGGTGCTGGAGGTAAATCTGCCGTCACGAGACCTGAATAATGAATATTACAGCTGCCATTGGATAAGTCGATCGATGATTCGCATCACGTGTTAGTAACGTGGCCTTTTGTGCTATTGCGGCTAAGAACTATTTTCTCATGTATTAATGAGATAGTTTGAAAAAAATTGCGATGACTCGGTGCAAACCGGCATAACTTACCATAATTGATGTTAAGGGCTGTTAAAAGCATACAGTTTAAATGTGGAAAGAAAAAAATTCTTTTAAATTTATGAGAAAATAGCGATCTTAGTACTTCCATTTTCTCTCATTAATAAGGAGCTCGAAGTATTTTCCAGTCATATTCACTAGTTGTTTCAAAGTAAAAATGAATAAATTATCGGAGCTTGCCAATCTATAAAGTGAAACAACTAATCGCACGTATCTTGATCCAACAACTTTATCTTAGTAGCGATGATTGTTACTGTTATCACACAAAACAGCGGCATCAGCCATCAGCGTTATCAGTTACAACTTACAACGCACACAATTATAATTTGTAGAACGAAGTAATTTTGTGATTCATCAAAAAATATTTCGATTTTCACAGAGACATTTTTAAATTTATAAATTTGTGATCTGTATCTATGCTCAGGTGGGACCGTCAGCTATGGAAAGATCGGGTTCCAAAGGCCGGATCCCTTGTGAATCAAGTCACGAAAAGTTCAAGAATCGGCAACAGGCCATGGGCCTATTTCTTCAACGCCGACACTTCTATTCTATTCTATTACTATAATCGAGCGTTGCTCCATGCAGGAAGAGACAGAAAACAACGGATATCAAATTAGGCGTAACAAGTTTTCTTCCAACAAAAAACGACCCAATGGGGGATACTAACAGTAACAAATGATTAATCTGGATCGGAGAGCGGAAGTACTGAAAAACAAACGCCATGGTGTAGAAACTATTAATGTACAATGCTTAATTAGAAATCGTATTATTGTGTAGAATTATTTCCATCACGGCTCATCGCATACAGCTATAGCGTGGTACGGTGGTAGTATTTATGTAAGAGATGTGACTTCTAATACCCTTCATTGTTAGACTACTTTCCAAAGTAATCGGAGCATAAACGTTCGTTGAAAATTATGTCACGCGTAAACGAAATGCGGGACCTTTTATTCACCTTAACCTCAAAGATATTTAATTTATTTTGAATTAAAATATAGCGTTGAACAGGACCTGCATCAACTGAATGATTTCATCGAGAGCGAGCATAAAATAAGGCATTACCAGCGAGTCATATTCGAAATAAATTGATAAATTAGTTACCCGGTTGTAGGCTGACTTCCTACCCAGTTTTCGATGGTGCCATGCGTCAGATAAATGATAATAGCGTTACACAGTATAATTTTATAAATGTTCTGAAGTTATCATAATCATCAATTGCCTTTATGGTTCGCTGTCCTGAATTCATGCAAGAGAAAAAATACAGCTATAGTATACACTATACAGTAACGTACAGGGTGGCCGGAGCAACATTTTTCGCAGTCTAGTGAGTCTACTAAGCGTGACGCCGCATACTTTTTGCGCTAACCTACGTCTTCCAGGGCTTATTCCCCTGCACGTTCGTTCAGTGTCACTCATCCTTAAAACTTGAGTTGACGTGGCAAATGGCGGTAAAATTAGTTAACTCCTGGTACAGAATATACTCTAGAGAAACCATTGTAAAAATTACAGATAGTTTTGTATTCTGTATTGGAAATTTGGAAATAGAGTCTATATTGCTTAGGTGTATTAACATTCCATTATTCTCATTGATAATCCACAGACGGTCACTTCTCCCCAGCCGTTCCCACAGGTATGCTCCATGCTCTACAAGTACCAATCAGTAATCGTGTCACAGAGACCATTAGTATAATACTTCACCAGGAACATGTTAAAAATTAGATTTTGAAGTTTTAAGTGTAATTTTCTACTTCCCGTACTGTTAGGACTAGCCTAAAATCCACGAAGAGGTAGTTTCTTACCTTCTTGTGAACGAACTTCCGATTCCAATTGCGTCCACTCTTGCTCGGCTGAAATGACAGATTCATGTTCCTGTTTCAATTGTTCTTCATTTATAATTGTATCCGAAGCTCCTATGCAACCTTCTACAGCTCTGCCAAGCTGAACTTTGGGAAGTTGAGTAACTTCAGAAACTTGGCGCACCTCAGCAGCGAGCGAAGCGTCTTCACCACCCGAAAGTTCCTCCCTATTGTCTGCCGAGTCACCAGACTCGGGTGGCGGGGAACCGCTGCTTTTATTCTTCCGGTTTTTCCGGCTCCGCTTCTTTCGACTGGACTTGGACTGTGATTTTCTGTCCATGATGGATGAGAAATACCTGAAGCTGGTCACGTCGTAAAAGGTGTTTTAGTTAGCACCCATCTAGAAAAATGATTCTGGTTCGTATTTGCCTACATGTTTTTCTTAGATTAAAATAGTTCACGTTAGTGATCAGCGCTTCTAAGGCACGAAAATTCTCTCTATACATGTACTTCTAACGCTCGGTTCTGGAAATATGTACATTAATAAGCACAGAATTTCACCGGTGGTATAATTATATGTACATATATTTTCTAAATCAGTGAAAGAAATCATGATGTTGAAGTACAGTTTTCTTAAAGTAAAGTCGATGATATTACTCGGAATCAAATGCACGAAAGAAGGAAAATGACGTAAAAGACTGGACTGGTCAATATCACAAGACGCTTTAGCTATGGCACCAATTTCAGGGGAAATCAAGTGATAAAAGCAGTTAAAGAAAGACAACATTTGCATCATTATGCTGCTCTGCATGTGGAAAGTTTGAGCCGACAGTATTAACGACGAATATTCTAACTTTGAATTTCGGGCTAATTTCTTTTTCAGTGGAAAGTAACAAGGAACGGGCGCTTGCAGTTGAAAGAGTTTAAGCTTTGCGCCAGAATGCGACATTAGCTAGACGTACTGAACCAGCCGTATTCAGGGAGCATCTGTTGCCCTCCGCGATTTCATGATATAAATTCGATTATGCTAAAAGTCCCAGCCAGTATTTCACCCACACAATACGTTGATTGACAAAGTTTGTCATCTCCTCAGCTCGAGTTGCAACAATTTCACCAACTGCTTCACCAAAAGCCTCCTCAAACTCTCATTTCTGTTGGAGTTACGTTTCATATTTTTCCACCGAGCGCAGACTTCACTCGATGGCATCACACAACGTAGAAACTTGCGCTATCAGATGAGAAAACACTGTTAAGCTTAATTAGCCAATACCTTCCTCTAGTATACATGCTTTAAGCCGAACTGGGAAAGGAACTGCATTGGCCGTTTATACCATCAGCTAAAACTTTCCTCGAGTATAAGCACATTTAGGCTTCCCACATCGACACCGAAAAAATATTTTAGTAGTCCGGTAGGGACACTGAAATTCGCATAGGTATAAACAATTCGAACTAAATTGCTTCGGTTTATCAATTTACACTTGATATTAGATGTCAACGAACTCTTCAAAAAAGGATCTACAATTCAAAGAATGTGCACATCATGCAACTGTCATTTGCAAAGCGGTTCTAGTATTGATTCTTCAGATGTGAATTATTTTATCGTGATTTCGAGCTCAAGTAAGGCTGATTCAATAAATTAAGTTGACTAATGCAACAAATTTGACGAGCAGCTATATTTCATCAATTTAGGTTCATGTTCATAACAGTTTATTTGCAGTACTAATGGGTTAAAGTCACAAATGTTACGGAATCCTCAATTGCTTTCAGTTTATATTTAAATTTGCATTGTACGAGCGTAAAATGTAACTTTAAAATGTAACCCGATGTTGAAAAAAAGTGAAATTAAAAAATCGTGAAAAAATAAAAAATGATCTAAGTACTAACTGACAATAACACAAGTTTGGTGCAATATAAGTCACAAATAAAGGGACAATTTACGATTATTTCAAAATTTGTCATTAAACAAGATGGTTTGCACAACGTGGCTTTGAGACCATAAGTATAAGTGGAAGAGGCGACTACTTAATGCCTTCAAGTGGCAAGTTCTTCGCCCTTGAGATCATCAGGCGGGCTGCGTTCAAGTACTTGAATTGCCCTCATCTCCTTTGACCGTCCTATAGGATCCCATCCTATAGCCTAACTTCAACATCATGACCACTCTCATGAACCGCGCTGTAACAGGGGTCTGCTCACCTTAGTTGTGTTCTTAGCAGCTAATCTACTTGATAACAGGCTAAGTTACAGATCTTAGATTGTATATGAACTCCAACAAACAGCAAAAAATTAATTATAAAGAAACCATAGTAAATGCTCATGCATTTCATTTTTAATATATTTTGCATTACAACGACTGTATGAAATCAGAATACAGGTACAATGCCAAGCCGAATAGCTCCCACATTTTCTTCTCCATTGATCGTTAATAAGCTAACTGGCGGCCAGTGGTTGATAACTTGATAAGCATGATGTACACAGCACTCTACAACAGTAATCCCAATATTTCATCATCGTAGGTGCTTGAATAGAAAAATATTTCAATATTCAATAAGTGGTGAGTAATTAGGCAACAAGCTAACATAAATTCATTCCAGGTTTTCAGCCTTACGTTATGAATGAAATTGCATCAACTTGAAAAAAAGATCACGTATCGCGCGTGAGCTCGATGACATGCACAGTATGCTTGTCTTGCATGGGTAAGAGATGCAAGTGTGTCAAGCGGTCTTCTTGTCTCGCTGTTAGCTATTGGACGGTGCCATATGATTTCGGTGCAGAAGCTGCGCACGAGAGCTCTGAGGCCGGGGCGATCCTTTTATGTAAACACTTTTCCTGACAAGACAACTCCACAATTGTAAGAGCATATAAACCATAAGATTATTCTGGACGAATCTAAGCGACCGTAAAGTTAAGCATAAGTTCACTCGTGTTATGTAGTTCGGCAAGGGCAACCCATAGCTCGGCACAGCGGCGAGGGAGAGATGGCAACGGCGCGTCACGTTCACAACATCACTGAAGCCGATCTTGGCACCACTCTTGCATTGAGCCCAGCAATGGACCCCCAACACCTGACACCATCGTCATCGCCGTCACTACATCAAACACCGCGTGTTCTGGCCATTAGTCTTGTTCGCGGACGGCGATTCTCTGATTAGAGATGTGTGGTGTGGTGGCGTTTGTACCAGGCTCCCATCCAAGGCTGGTTTTCAAACTTTCAGGGTCCGGCAATCAGGTAAAAATGTACAGAAAATTTACATTTTAACCAAAAACACTATTCACATGTTGAGCTCACATGAAGACGTACGAGGAAAAAGCATTAGAAAGCCAGAAGGAGGCAATTTTTCATTAAAATTATGGATTGATTTTTGTTTTGCTGCTGTTTTTTTGCTCAAGCCAGTAATCTCTTACATCTTACATCAAACTCTTATATCTAAATTCATATAGACAATAATGAAAGTAACCATATGCCCAGTACTTCGAGCTCACTGAGTCCATTCATTGACCAGAAGTGTAAACAAGGCATTTGTAGGAACATGAATATTATGGAGCTGGTAAATTACAGCTCCATCTTCTAGAATCTAGATCCTACAACAAATTAGAACATATGCTGACAACGCTTATGCACATTTACGTAAATTTTGAAAAACTGGAATGTCGGTGACTGGTAATTAATTGGTTAATTGGAAAAAAACAGCTACAGCGAGGAAAATTACTGTAAGCAAGACAGACGACCATCTTCAGACAGTCGCACCGGCCGGCGTTTCTTGAAGGCCGGGCGCCAGACTGCGCTGTGGACAAGTTCTCAAGGTCTTAGATTAGTGGCGCGTCAACTCAAAACTATGGTTGAACTAATACATGAATATGTAACTAATACGTGAATGAACTAATAGTTTAACCATGACTCAAACTCTCAGCTAAGCTCTTGTGTCTTAAGTATTGCCTCGAGGGAGTCTCATGAAATAATTAATTCGACTGTGGGCTGCAAATTGGTATGAATACGGTACAAATTTTTGGTGTTTCTCTGCAGATAGATACCTCACGATCATAATTTAGCTATTGCAACATAATTAAATTCCTGTGATATTCAAAATTGAGGTTCTGCAAGTAATTTCTGTGAAAAATCACGGGAAATTCTTGTAGAACAAGCAATGAATGGCTTCGGAACATTTCATCTGAAGTAAAACCCTGGAGTTCTCAAGTTTTTAGACTGGACAGAACATAATAATCTAAGTCAGATATTTATTTATTCATTTATAACTATAGTTAAAAGTACGTAATTCAAAACAAACAAGTTTTGCTCATTCAAACAGGCTGCTGCTGGAGTCAAAATTGCCCACAGGAAAATCGCCAACGTTGATAGGCTCCAAGTGACGCAGTTTGCGGTTGCTAACTGCGACGTTACGTCTGACGCCGTCAGTCTGTGCCTGAACTTCAGCTGAGTGAGAGTGTAAGCTTAGCGCCGTGTACCTCTTTACTGACATGGACGGGAACAAAACTTCAAAGGGTTATGGTGAGTAAGCGTTAGTTCATTCCATTAAGTTGATTGTCTTGTCATCCTTGGGTTCTTAGATTCTGTACGAAGAGTTGTTTCCATGTTTGCTTGATAATTTGGTTCGTTTGCTGGTTTTCCTAGAATTGAAGGCCTATGCCCAATAATTTTGTGCCTCTCACAGGCTCTGTTATATACGCTGCTTAGGCCTACCGGACCGGTGGCAATGTTAATTTAAAGTAAAGAATTTTAGGTAACGGTATCCAGTTTCATCAAGTTAGAGTTTCATCTGTTAGAGGCTTTAAACATTTTTAAATGTGAACTAGGTACCTGACCTATTATGTTTCTTTTCGAACTGTTTCTTTTGTGAATCAGTGAATTTAGAATCGGTAAATCGGTGTGTGAATTAATGCAGTGCATGGACACGACACAAGGAAATGTTTCAAAAGCATCATAAACTTCTTAGAATCTACTTAAATTAGTTTAATTATTATTGCTTGTGGTCTTCCAATTCTAATCCAATAAGTAGATCGCGTTTTGTAAAATAATTTTGTTCATTCACCCGTATAGAAGAAAAAGAAAGCCTTATATATAGTTCATCCCAGTCAATCACTTTATGCAGCTCTGATCAAATTCTACTCGATGACCCTCATCTCGCTGTCTGCAGCGTATTAATCGATCTCAGGACCTTTCGGTGATCTTGGAATGCTTGTCAAATTTGATTGCCTGTTTTCAGCCTTCGGTTCAGCTTCCAAGCCGAGCCAGGTTATACATACAATCAGAGGGAGCTCAGCCGTGCACCACCAATTTCTTCACCAAACAACCATGAACGGAATGTCTTGCATATTTCCGTAGGACCGCCAGTCAGCTAAGGAGTAAGCCTCCCGCCAGTTACCAGCCCATGACCTCATCTTGGTTTGAATATTATGGGCTTTACATCACCATACACGGGAGCCAATAGCCCAGAGTGTAATGCTCGTCCACCACTGAGCATTACATCCAAACATCACGTTATACTCCGGCTATAGCTCGAACTATAACCAGCGTACAACGGAATGCCATCGACCAGCCTAGCTCATCATGGGAACTGTATGCAACCTGCCGTGCACCACCAGACCGCTGATCGATCATGATTTCCGGGGCTTCCTTAAATTACGTAACTTTTAATTTTTAGCTCAAAGCATCTATGGTTTGGTTTCAGGTAGCATATTTCTGTTCCAAAATCTATCGTTCTTCGATGAGTGGCCGTTCGAACGTGGGCTGATTCGATGCACGGGCGAGATACGGACGGGTTGGTGGCGAACACCGAACATAATATTCATTGCAAGGCTCCGGCGAGCTCTGTCCGAGTGGTGCAGAATTTTTCCACGTATTGGCAGACAATGCTAGGCCATACTAAAGTAAGCTGTTCTCCTGTGGGTTGATGGGTCTAGTTCAATGAATGTGATCTGTCCGGTGGCCTGCGGCTGATAATGATACAGTCCAGAAGTGTTGGAGGCCACGTACTTGAGGGAAGGGATCATGCCAGTCCAGTTGAAGAGGCAGGGGGCGGTCTCCGACAGGCATCCACAATCAGGTATACATACATACCGAATTGCCGGAACATTCTAATGTTTCGTCGTCGCTTTGACTCCGATAGGCCGGAGATCCGACGCAAGAATACGTTTTGCACGGAACTGACATAAATCATGTGATGTACAATTTGCACAGAACGTGCATTATGCACAGGATGTACGTTTGTACTCGATCTTTGGCTTGCCTCGTACAGTTATTGCCTCTGTGTGAACACTAAGCTTGAACTGGTCACTCGGGTGCTCATCAACACACCGAAATCACGAATGAATTTGTTTTTTTTTTTAATTCCGCGTCGTCAAGTGCCGTGTAGTTGTGCTCCCTGTACCAGCTCCTCCGCTACTTTCGTACAGGGTGATTCACGGAAACTTCCTGATTTGCAGCTCAATAAAAAAAGAACTCATAAAGATATCATTGCGATATAACTTTTAGTTAAAAAAGCCTTGCCTTAATTTTTGTATCACTTAGTTTTAAATATGAAATCGGAGAAATGACCGCCATCATTGTCAATGCATTCAGTTAGTTGATTTTTGAAGTTCCTTTTAACTCGCTGAAGAATGTTGCCTATGGCTAGGAATTTGTTCTACAAATGAGGTCGGAGCCAAATTGGGATGAGCCAAATGTTCATGAGGACGGAACCAAATCTTTTTCAAAAATCGCAAGGAGCCAAATCGGGGGATTGTGCCGGCCAAATAAGGTCACCTCTCAAGGAGATGAGGCGCTCTGCAAAATGTTGTCTCAGAAGATTCATTGAACATCGCGCTGTGCGGGCCGTGGCTCCATCCTGTTGGGACCAGACATCCCTGACATTCATTTCAGCCAGTTTTGGAAAGGCGTCAATCATTTGCGTGTGCCGAGCTGCAGTCCCCATTACTGCGCGTTCGTTTTCCTCAAATAAATGAGTTCCAATTATGCCGACTTTTGAGACCGCACACCACACAGTTACGCTTTCACAATTCAGTGGCCGCTGATGGATCTCACGCGAATCGGTATCACTTCAATAATGCACGTTTTGCTTTTTCACGCTGCCGGAAATCTGGAAGTGAGCCTCATCACTAAAGAAAACGACTGCATCGTGAAGCAAGTTCTCAAGAAACGCTTCACGTGCATTTCGTCGAGCAATGCTCATCCAGTAGCGATTATGGAACGGCCATAAGAAAAGTGAAAAGTACTCCTCGACAGCAAACGCACGCTGCTCACTTGTCCAATGCATAGGGGCAAGTGACTAGGCGGGACAGAAAACTTCATGACCTTGCCTTTCATACGAAATACACCCCATCCTTTTCCTACATCTGGCTGCTTGGAGCGAAATACAAATCAGGAAGTTTTCGTGAATCACCCGTGCCTTCATTACTCTATTGTTCTACATGAGGAAATAAAATTACGTTGAGTTCATGATGTTAACGATAATTATGTGTTAATATATTAATTAAATATTTTTTTATTCAATAATTTTTATATGCATTTCAATTACAAATCTTTATCACTTTGATTAAACTTGGCTCAAGTTACTACTTGAATTACGATTAAGTTCCCGCCACCATGATAACAGAATTGGTGGGACTGGTGTTAACGTGTTATTCACACTCGCGGCAATATTGGTTTTTATTCATTAATTCATATATTCAATTTCGTTTACATTAAAGAATCTTGTCACAAATTATTAGATAATTAATTAGTGGTTAAACCTTGCTAATGTCTTGTATTATTTCAGCCCTCTTCAGTGTCAGTGACAAATCGGGACTTGCTGAGCTCGGCGAAGGCCTCTCCAAACTTGGCTACGATCTCCTGGCGTCTGGTGGAACAGCGAAGAGCTTGCAGGCAGCCGGTCTTGAGGTAAGACGCTCTCCGGCTTGTAGCTTATATTGTCTGATGCTAGGTACTTTTCTACGCCTAGTCTCATTATTGCTTATTAAGCTTGGTCACCATGCTTGAATAAAGTATTCTAATTTTACGAGTTCGCTTTCTTAAACGCAAAATATAGACTCCGTGAATAATTTACTTTTTAAAGTGAAAATGCATTTAAACTTTTGAATAGACTTGAACTGAACTCCCTACTTAATTGAAGGAGGTTTTCAAAGATCATCCAACCTGTCAGGTGACGGAAGTGAGTGACGTCACAGGTGTCACTAGCATGCTGGGCGGTCGAGTCAAAACCCTACACCCTAAAATCCACGGGGCTATTCTTGCCAGGAACAGTCAGGAGCACATGGATGAACTTCGCTCCCATGGCATCAAGCCAATCAATGTAAGTTTTACTGTCAGATTGTAAGGCTTACATATCTGAATGAAAAAGCGAGTAAAAATTCGATTAAAGTCCCTATTGTTTTTCCAATATTTGGTGGTTATTATGCGCAGAAAATTTTAATCCATATTGATCGCATTTCAAATGGAAAAATTGAGTTTGTTCAACCGGCGAAGTTCATTTGCATATTTTTTCATGATTCTTCGTACAATCGTAAATACTAACAAATTCTACTCGTTTCATAATCAGGTGGTAGTGTGCAACCTTTACCCGTTCGCTAAGACAGTTGCAAAGGACGGGGTAAGCATGAGCGAGGCGGTCGAAGAAATAGACATCGGCGGTGTGGCGCTGCTACGAGCTGCGGCTAAGAACTTCTCTAGGGTGACTGTGCTGTGTGATCCTGCGGATTACTCCACTGCACTGGCCAAGCTCAAAGACGAGAAGGACTATGGAGAGAATGAGAGGTTAGTTCCATGAAATATGACACTGAAGTTAGATTTTAGTAGTGCAGTTTCATTTCCTCATGAAATTAGTTTCCAACTAGAGAACATTCCCTTTGCTTAAGGTATTTCAATATCATGCCGTTTCAAACTAAATTTCCAACCATTAATTTTGAAAAGTGGACAACTAATTGTTATCAATCGTTCGTTACAGTGCCCAAGTTATTGTATTGCTTCCTATAACCGTAAGTCGTGCCAATAATTTTTTCTCTTTTGCAGACGTAGTTTGGCCTTGAAAGCGTTCATCCACACGTCGAACTACGACGAGCAAATTAGCTCTTACTTCATGGAGAACCAACAACAATCCGACGTACATCTGAGCTTGCGATACGGGATGAACCCTCATCAGAAGCCCGCCTTCGCATACACGGCCGCACCAACTCTACCTATTACGGGTAAAAATTACATTACTTTATCGTAAGACAAAAGTGAAGATTACATCCACTCAAGTTTTGAATGTGTTGAATATTATCTTTGTTTCATATTACACCTAATCTCGCATCTGAATGAAAATTTTAAGCCTAAAATAAGATAAAATATTATATCATGGGAGCTGTTCCATGGTGCTGTTAAATGGACATTTCCCTCAGCAGGAGCAATTCCTCTCCGTTGCATATTACTATTGGAGATAAATGACTTTATGAATAGCTCGGCCTTATACATCGTGTTCGTGCAGTTCTCAATGGGGCTCCTGGCTTCATCAATTTGTGCGACGCTCTGAACGCATGGCAGCTCGTGAAGGAACTGAAGGAGGCTCTCGGCTTGCCTGCCGCTGCCTCTTTCAAGCACGTTTCTCCCGCTGGTGCTGCGGTGGCCGTGCCTCTCACCGACACTGAGGTAAATTCAAAACTTCAAAGGAATTAACTTATTGTTTGTTTCCATAACTATTTCTTTGGTTTGTGAACGATAAAAAGTTATGTTACTCATCGGAAACGTTCACTTCCTCCTCTGTACTGTACATTCAGCGCGATTCTGATATTTGGCAAACATTTCATGACTATTCAATTTTTCCTTCCGCGCAATTTGTAAGTCATCGACTCGTAATCATACGAGCCACAATACGCATCAAAGATTTCCAGTTCTTTATTTCCCCAGTCAAAATGTCCACATTCTTTCTGCTGAAACTCATCCTCGTCTTCACGCTCCTGACTTTCGTAGGCCGCAGTGTATCAGGTGGACAATCTGGGGGAAATGAGCGAGCTCTCTCAGGCGTACTGCAGAGCTCGAGGAGCGGATCGGATGTCTTCATTCGGAGACTTCATTTCGCTGTCGGACGAGTGCGATGTTGCAACTGCCCGGATCATCGCCAAGGAGGTCAACAACGAAATATTCTGCTGACATCTGTGCATGAAATATTCTTCAATACATCCACGCAATATTTGTTGAAAACAGTTTTTTTTTGCAGGAATGTCAAAACGAATTTACGTTCCTGGTAGAAATGAAACGTAAATTTGTAGAGTTTATAAATTTGTAAAGTTTAGTTTATTGTTTCTCGGATAGAAATTATAGTCACAATTCAATTTCAATCCTGTAAAGAATGACAACTGGCACTACTATTGTGGAACTAATTTCTTTATTAGCTTATTGCGCCCGTTTCTGCGCAGGTATCCGATGGAATCGTCGCTCCTGGCTACTCGCAAGAAGCTCTCAAAATTCTCTCCGCCAAGAAAGGAGGGAGTTACTGCGTCTTGCAGGTAAGCTTCTTTTTATCGTATATAAATCCACGTTTCGTACAAATTTTAGTTACCAACTGTCGTTCCCTCATGGGTATAAAGCAAGGTTCATAACATTTTTCGGTGGTAAAGAAAATTCTTCAAATACTTAGTTCTTCATAGGGACCTTTCTTTGCTGGTCAAAAGACGCTCTTTTTCCACTCTAAATCCGTCGTTGTCAGTGCAGTGATAACGCTCCATTGTTGATGTTATTGAGTAACGTCTTAGTGGTGGATTTGTCTCTTCATCGATCAGGGGAGAGGTTATTGAAAATCCAGTTTTACTAATGAAAGAATTTTTTCTTGAACACTAAAACCCACTATTCTATTAAGTGGATATCCAATGATATAAGAAAGTAAGAATATTGTAAATTATAACCATAGATCAAGCTTGTATACAACTCAAATCGCCGCACGTGTTACGTGAACGCTATCTTTTTGCTGTACGAACGCGAAGATTTAGTCGGTTGCTTATGCTAACTCGGTTTTTATAAGAAGTTTGCTCCTCTGCGTTGGCGATAACAGGTGTTCGTTTCTAACGCTAATAGGATAAAGCCAACTTCGGGATGGGGATGTGATAATGACCTAAGTTTCGATTAGTGATCAATTGATGGCGATCAAACGAACAAGCGTGCATGAGGTCATTTGATTTGATCATGCATCACTTTGCGTTTTTAGCATTATCTGATACGTTTGATCTCGCTTATCAGTGACTACCAAGTTCGTATCAGAGCTGATACAGTTAACCCATTAATTCTGATAGGAAATAAATGTCCCACGCTTCAAATGAGTTCGCATAATAGATCATGGGTTGTTAGCAAGCTAAAATTTCAACTCGTAAATATGACCGTAACCGAAATATTTATATTTACAAATCGGGGTGCTCTAAGCCAATATTACGGTGCCTCATTTTTTGTGAAAGTATTTAGTGTGATAGCTCACATTCAAAGCCGGATTCTGAGGGAAGGCCGGAGACCATCCAAATTTTAGTTGTCAATTGAGACCCTGCGTCAGTTCTTCATTCTGTGGATCCACAACTTCGCGGTATAAGCGTGTTTCAATATGACTTCACGTGTGATCATATACCTATATGCAATTTCAATTATGCGTACGTAAGTTTTGAAAAGATAACTTAAATTTCAATAAATTTTACAGGTTTCATAGTGAACTTGAATTAGCCGATCACTGCTTGCAGTGACAAGTCCGTAAAATTTGGGTCATACAGTTAAGTGTGAAACAATCGATGTAATAGTTTTTTCAATCATTTAATCATCTCGTGAAATAAACGCAGCTTTACTAAATTTTAAGGTTTCTAAATTGTTTCTAATTTATTTGCGAATTAAAAGTTTTCCTCATAGTGGACCTGTTTGCTTATATCATTTTAACCTCTAAACATTCAATTATTAAGGAATGCAATCAAAAACTATAAGGACTAAAAAGTAATTGAAGAGTAAATTCAGACATTACAGTTATTTATTCTATAAATCTGTAATGAATAGTTCTATAAATCTGAGAGATGGAATCAATATTTCTTCTGAAAATATGCAACAACTGGTTTACTATGTACGTTTGAAATTGCTCTCTCAAGTGTCGTTGAAACTATCAAGACTATGTTGAAACTATCAATAATCATGTATTTATCTAGTAGTACATTATTTTACATTACTATTTTTTGCATTTCTCCTGTGAATTCGTTTATCGACTCGGTTAGAAGATTTGTTCAACAACATATTAAAACTTCATTATATGTAGAAACTTGCATGTGTGTTGTAATTTGAGAATTGATTTAGAGTCAAGAAAGCAGTAACGAAATTTAATGCCCAGACTTCTAATGAGGCGCGGTGCCGGTAAGAAAAAGGCTGAGAAAAATTGCTCCAGGAAAATTAACCTTTTTTTCGTGCGATTTATTACTTTGTGAGAACTCCTTGTATACTACCTTACTACATGGAAAGAAAGTTCATTAAATGAAGATTGGAATCTCGCAGATCGATGCAGACTACGAGCCTCAGCCGATGGAGACAAGAACAATCTTCGGCGTCAAGCTCCGTCAGAAAAGAAACGATGGAATAATTTCGGAAAACTTGCTGAAGAACGTGGTAACTGAGAAGAAAGAGGTGGGTCAAAATAATACCAGAACTCGTTGCAATTATTTTTACAAAAGTTTTGATACTCTCTGAAGAATTTCTTTTCGCGTTTATACCCTCTGAAACGTCACTTATTATGAAAGTATTTATCACATATTACGGACATATAGTTACAATTTTATGAGATTATTGAAATTATTCATGGTGTTGCAGATGTCAGCAGACAACCTGCGGGACCTGCTGGTGGCGGCGATGGCTGTGAAGTACGCACAGAGCAACAGCGTCTGCTACGCCTACAGGGGCCAGGTTGTGGGGCTGGGCGCTGGGCAACAAAGCAGGATTCACTGCACGCGTCTTGCCGGCGACAAAACCGATAACTGGTGACGTTTCTACGACCTCATTTCAAGTCATTTATATTTTTTATAATTGCTTTCGCTGTGAAAATATTACATAGACAATTCATATCGGTCACTTTAACTAATAACTTTAGAGTAAAGAGAAAAACGTCTCAACATCAAGAAATTTTATATGACCACTGAATGAACAATTAAAAAGTGTTCGATAACTGGTGACATTTCTACGACCTCATTTCAAGTCGTGTAAATTTTTTATAATTGCTTTCGCAAGTAAAATATTACGTAGACCTCAGCAGCAAGTGGGAAGTCGTGCTTTTCAAAGTTTTTCTAAAATCTAAAGCTTAACCATTTGTTCGTATAGGATTGATATTAAGACCTTGCATTCTAGATTATTTGATAATATTTTTCAGTTTGACACGTTTGGAGCTCACGCAAGTTTTGACAAATTAATTTTATCCAATTATGCACGCATCGCACTTGCTTTGATAAGTATCAAAATAAAAATTATAATATATTAAATTATAACATAATATAATTATTATTATTATTATTATTCCACGAAAAGATTGTCGTGGCGTCTCGTTCGGATCGAACTTCGAGGGCACGTTACAAGTGGCTAAAAAACAATATTGCCTGTTCTCACTCTGATTTCAGGTGGCTGCGACATCACCCAAAAGTTCTTAACTTGGTTTTTAAGGCAGGAGTGAAAAGGGCTGAAAAGGCAAATCTCATCGATAACTACGTCAACGGATATGCCGGTGATGAGACTTAACGTTGAAACATTTTTATTCAGTCAATATGCATGTATCTAAATAACTACGTGATCTCATTTCATTTTTGCATGCATTTTGCTATTAATAATGCAGATTTTTCTATTAAAAAATAATTTTGCACCTGTTGTTTCGCATTCAATCAGTTGAGATTTGTTTATTACTAAATTTGTTAGATGCTTAGAGGCTACACAATCACTGAGTTTTTTTTCAACTACTGATTCGGCTAACAATTGCAAGCGGCTTGAAGTTTTCGCTTTAATTATTTTTGTTGTTTTTTAATTCATTGAAACATTATTTACAATTGTACAAATGCAATTTCATAAACTCGCTATTCCGACCTTATAGTGCCAAAACTTCTATAAAATGTACCTGTTGGGTAATGACCACTGCAAGAAATTTTTCAATTTTTTTTGTAGACATAATTAGTAGGCAACATTAATGGCAATATACGTTGACATAATAACACTATCCGCAGATGTCTCCATGATGAGCTCAGTCCTGAGTGAGATAGCAGAGCCCCTGACGGAGTACGAGAAGCAAGAGTGGCTCGGCCAGCTCAGCGGCGTGGCTGTCGCCTCAGACGCCTTCTTTCCCTTCAAGGATAACATCGACCGAACTAAGAAAGTCAGTTTGAAGACTTGTAAAATTATTTTTAATTGTTCATTCAGTGTTCATATAACTTTTATTTTTAGCGTGGAGATGTTTTCGCCTTTACTCAAAAGTTTTTTTAATAAACGAGACAAAGAACTATGAATTGAAACTAAAATTTTCGTAATTTTTACTTGGCATTTTCAATTATTATTATTCTAAGATTGCATTCAGTGTTCATATAATAACTTTTTTTGACGTTGAGACGTTTTCCTCTTTTCTCAAAAGTTTTTTAGTAAATGAGACCGAGAATTATGAATTGAAACCAAAAATTTTTTTATTTTTACTTGGTGTTAGGCATTTTCTCTATTATTCTACGTTTGCAGCTGGGGACAATATGGCTGTTTCTTTCCGTTCCGAATGCTTTTCTAAATACTGGCAGTACAATTGCAATTCGCATTTAGCTCTTTTTTATTAATGTTTTTATGTTTAATCATGTCAGAGTGGCGTGAGCTTCATCGTTAGCCCGAAAGGCTCCCAGAACGACCAGGCTGTAGTGGACGCCTGCAACGAGCATGGCATTGTTATGGTGCACTCGGATCTCAGACTCTTCCACCACTGAAGCAACCAACACCTACAGTTTAACGACGCATTTGCATCATTTATGTATTGTAATTCATTACTCTGATATGATATTTGTTTGTATACAATTATTAGCGGGCTCTTTTTACCCGAACTATTCGTCGAATTAGACTTGAGTGAAAATATTGAAGTTACACTTCGGTGAGATGTGATAAGCCGCGATCTGAAAATACTGCTAAAGTTTGCTCTTCTGTTTTCACATTGTATTTCTGATTAGAATGCAGAGCAAGAAAATATCGCTTGCACTTTCTCACTGGAGTGCGCTTCAAGTGCATGAAAGTATTTTTTTCAATGCGGCTATGAACAATTTATTGTATCAGAATCTACATTGTATGTGTTTTGAGGATAATGGGTTATAATAAATTACATGGATTTCTATTTAAGAATTTATATTTCCTTTCATACAGTGATGATTGAATTAGTTTTAGTAAATGCTACCAAACAGTGAAAAGCTTGGCTAATGATAATTGGCTAACTTCGGCTCATGAAAGTATGTCGTACATTCCATTGCATTTACGAGTATAAACACAAACATCCTGCCAATTCATTCAGTTCGTATATTATTTTAAACGTCGTATATTTTTCTTTCTCGCAGAAGTGACTGTCAATTTTTTGGGACCAAGTTCTCCGGTTAAATATTTCTTATACATTGTGAAATGCACCTTGCTCTGTTGAGGTAATGACATGCAAAAAGCACATCAGCTCGTCCAAATGCAAGGGCTTCCAGCATGCTGTCCAAAATTTTTACTTCAAATTATGCAGGCTTGGTGCTTGAAATTGTGCAGAAAATAAATAATTGACCAGCTCCATCATCAGTTAGAAAATTTAGAGGATCCAGGTACGACCACAGCGAAAGGTCGAAAATACATCCGGGTTGCTGAAAACCGCGATAGGAGTTCTCGTTCTATTTTGCAAAACACACCAATGACGCTTTGTTCCAAGTAATAATAATAACAAAAATGTTGTCAACTTACATACCAGTTTTCATTCATTTTTCTCTAATCAATTTAATAAATCAGTTAAATAAGTTTGAAAATGCTTATCGTGTACTTGCAATTAAAAGCTGACAGAACCCCTGTCAAAATCATGGCCAAAATACCACTCCCGGCACATGAGGCAGCTAGAGAACGCATCGTTCCCGAAAGATGAGACTCGTCTGCCCGCAAAATCCGCAGCGACGGCTGGGAAAGCGACAGCTCATTTCGGAACGAACGTACATCATAAACTCTTCAGTCAGCCCGAGTTTCGGTGACCGTCCTTTAGATTTATTTCATACACGGTACGTCACCCACACTCCTACGCTTGTATCGATCACAGTCATTGTCAACAAACGATGATCAGAGGCGCTAATGCTTCAGAATTTTAGGATATTTTAGAACCTTTTTAAAATTCAAAAACACCGTTGTAAAATGCGAAAGCGAAAGCAGCGACATTTATTTTCAAATGGTGTCTATAAATCTGAGTTTTTTGTATAGAACTATCAGTTCAGAAATGAACCCTGAACGGTCCGACAGGCAGGAATGTTGACACATTAAGAGTCAACGAAGCTCTCTCGAAAATGATTAATCTTTTAAGTATATACTTCTCATATCATAACTGATATTTTATTAATATTAACTCGAAACTCGGCCAGTTCCACAGTTATGGTGGCAGGATCTGTCGAATTAGACACATAGATCCTAAATAGCTACAATGCACGATCTAGGAATTTTTCTTAACATACATAATCGAAATTCAATAATAATCACCGGCTTTTAGTTGGGTTGTATTAATTTGATAAATTTTAATATCCCTATTGAAAATGTATCAGAAATTTCCATTAATGGATCTCGTTTGCATATCGTAAGCATTGGTTTTAAATGGGGTTTAAATCGTATTTTAATTGCAATTAACTCCTCATAACTTCAATGAGATTATTCTCGCTCTGCCTCGTTTGTACTTGCTGACTAGAATGCTCCTTGCATTTGTATCATGATGAATACGCTTGGCTTATTAAATTTTTATGTCTTATAATATCTATTGTATAATAATCGTATTTAAATAAAATATATATTCGAACCATTCGTCGGGCGCACTAATTTTGGGTGCTTACTGGCTATAGTGTCTCTTTCTATAAAATCGAACTATCAAATTTCGAATGAATGATTTCGAAAAATCCTCTGATATATTTTAGATCAAAATTTTTTTAGAAAAAACTGTGATTTATAACAAATGAAGTCAAAATACTTTAGTATATTTGTAGCATGAACTTCATTTTTACTCTGCTTATTAATTTAAGTAATTGAAGTCCCGCTGAAAAATTTACGGACGTTCAGAGAACTCAGAATCGCATGAGAAAACGACGTTGAAAGTTAATAACAATTGCGCGAATCCTTTCATCACTCGAATCTTTCTTAACTTCAAAGGCTATAAATACTGGAGCATACTTTATATTAGATTTCCTGTTGAGATGATCGAGTCAGAGTCTCAGAAAAATGAATGGGTTATATTGTCCAAATTGTATCACGCATTTATCCACAGCACTATTACGTTATTCTGATAGGCCAATCTTGGTTTGGATGACCGACTCAAAGGCGAAAAATGCATCTCTATATGAACAAAGTCTCACTCATTTATTTGAGTGAAGAATATATAATTTCATAACTGAACAACATGGTCATCTGACTTAGGTCTTTCTGCGGCCTTCAACTAAATCAGTTAGAAAATGAATAATTTATTGTCTACACTGGATATACTAATTAGGTATACTTAAGGCATCTTTTCAACGTCTCTGTCGTTGAAATAACTAATATGAAACCTTAAATGCAGAGTTCAATGATATATGCTGACGAGAGCATCCCGAACTGAAATATTAATAACATTCCGTTCGAACCTGGCAAAACATTTGTGCGTCAAATATATGGCTAATTTGTTTACAAGCAATTTTTTAACATTTTTTGTCTTTTGTGCCTTCTTTGCGCTAAGTGTAGCGAAATGGGAAACGCACCACTCGTTTTTACAACACTTATCTTTAACTTCGCTTCTTGTTGTTTGTTTGTTTGTCTGCTACAAATCTTATAACCGATATTTAACACACTTCTACCTCTCCAATCTATCTGAAATTTTGCACACTTGTGTAAAGTTGGAGACAATGCATGAATCAAATGTCAAAATAAAGGATATTAATTTTATTTTCAATATTAAAAAATTGAAAAAATAATTTTGTCAGCTACAAATCTTATAACTGATAATTGACACACTTGTACCTGTTTAATTGATCTGAAATTTTGCACACTTGTGTGAAGTCAGAGGCAATGCATGAATCTATTAACAGAATAACTAATTAAAAAAATTTTATATTTAAAAAAAATGAAAAATTAATTTTTTAATATTCGAAAATTAAATGAGAAATTCATTGTACATCTGTAAGATTGGAGACACTGGATTCCTTGGAAGTGTTGTCTTTAAAAAGTAATTTTTAACCGTATATTATTAGTAACTCAAAGTCAAAGTAAAAGTTCGCGATATACTATATTCTCTCCATTCATTTGCTCGGACTAGCAGCCTTGCGAAAAATTTTGTAACACTCTCGCTTTGAAATATAATGATGAATTTAAGATATTTTATAGTTATAGGGTTAATTAATCTCCAATTTCACGATTCCAGTGATCATATCCGTTTGGTGATTTTTCTGCCTTCATACATCTTTAGTTGCGAATTCATAAAATAAGAAATCGTGGTCTCACCAGCTCAGCTATATAAGAGCATTTTCTTCCAGGACAAAGGTTAATTCCTTTTATTTATTTGTCTAAAAGTTATCCTGATCTAGTGAATTCAATTAAAATAATAAAAATTTATTTTTTCAATTACGTTTTTAATCTATTGTCTAACGTTATAGTAGCAATTTGGTATGGCGAAGGGGAGGCGTGTGTTAAAAAACTATGACGAGAGCTGCGTTTTGTGAAATTGCATCCTATATACCATAGAGTCATAGACTATGAAGTAAATATGCCCTGGTATCCTGGATAATATTTGCTGTATAGTCACGATATGATTCTATAGCAATATACATCTGTGCATAAAGGGAATAGAGAGTGGAGTTAATGTACATACACTATAAGAGTGACGTAACAGAGGCGTTAATGTCGGTGGTATACGTGAGAATTTTTTAATTTACATCGAAATGAAACTATAAGCAGTGCTTGATGGTCGGAACGACGCCAAATGAGTAGGAAGATGGACCGGCGCCACGTTTATTCGCACAGCTTTAATGTCTCTTGAACCACCGTCGTCGCGATATAGCACTATTGACTGTGAAGTGTCAAGAACGAGCTGATTGTATGCACAAAAATTGCCTCGTTGCTTCATAGTCCACGATTAAATACATACCTTGTGAATTTTTATTTCTATTCATTCGATTGCAAGGGTCGAAAATTATGAAAGACCTCATCATAACCGGTGCCATGGCTGATAGATGATTAGCAATCTCCTTTTAGATTAGGAATTCATTCTAAAAAAATTCTGGATTCGCTATAAAATCAAACCACATAAGTATGCATCCACGTATATTCCGCTAAATATTTTTCACATGATCGCAATCAGAGTCTGCATTAGGAGTCGTTCAACTGAAATCGTGCATCAAAATGCAATGTGATCATTGCGAATTTAGAAAAGTAATATAAAAAAGGATATATTAAAAATTAGAATCACTGCAATGTGAAAATATGCTGAAAGCATTGCCATTTCGTTTTGAACAAAGAGGAAACAATTGTTTTCTTATGTGACTCAATTATAAATGCAGTTTTATGAGGTGAGGAACCGAATCATTGTAATACGTGAAAAGTGCTGAAGTGCTTGCTTTGGGATCAACATTTTCATTATTTTTTATTACTTAAATCACAATTCCGTATAATTGTGGTAAACAGCCGCTTCAGGCAAGTTTTGTAGCTCTGAGATATATATTTTTAAGAGGCCCGTGATGAGTTGTAATATGATTCGCCTGAAATATGAAATCGATTCTTTGTAATAGTTCCTGAATATATTATACATGCAAAAAAGCCCCAAAACAAGCTCTGGTAACTTTGGCGATGTGATTATTCATAGAAAATTCCAAGCCCAGCAGAATGCCGAGGTTGTGAACCGTATACGCAGGTACGATGAACGCGTTGCCCACGCAAACAGAGTTGACCGGAAGCTGAAGCTGGCGCCGAGTAGTCAGAAACCTTTAAAGTCGGTTTTCAATGCATTGAGCTGGAGTCGGTTGGAGCGCAGCCAGTCTGAGACGACGTCCATGCAGACAGACCTCCGGTCTTGCCATGCTGCAGCGTCAGCTGGTGCACAGTAGCCATAAATTTGGGTGTCGTTGGCGAATATATGCGGATTCAAACTATGTGAGTCAA